GTGTCAGGCCAGGAGTGAATGAGCCTTGGGGCTGGGGACCAGCTAGCCAACATGTTCAAGGCTGCATTTGCCTCCATGTCAGTCTTTGCTTGCGACAATGAAAATGATCAAATGAGCCTGTTTTTTATATTCTTATTGGCAGGAACTGTGTACCATGTTTTTGCCCAAAACACATTTTTTTTTTTTAAGTGGCTAAGTTTGAAGTCTGATAAATGGAGTCTTGGGTCAAAAAACTGGAATAAGCTTTAAGGGTTGCTGTCAACCTGTTATTTCATGTAGGTTTTGCTGGTGACATCCAATTCAAGGTTCCACAAAATTTGGGAATAAAAATTATTGGTCAAGAAGAAAGGATATTGAGTTCTTAGAATTTAGAAAATGTCTCCTCTTCTACCACATAATTGTCCAAACTACTTGGGCCAGTTGAAATCAGTTTTAATTTACTATTTAATATCATTTATAGGCCATAATGGGGGTAACCAGAATTCAGCCACTTCCCTTCATATAAAAAATGACTTTGTACAGGTTATTTAGCTTCATCCAATTCCTCCTGCCAGCACTCTGTCACCTCTCAGTGACTGTGTGGGAAGATGCCAGTGACTGCTTGCATGGGGGCATTTAAGCAACACTTTTGTTATACTGGGGAAAAAGAGATGGAATTTGGAAGAACAGCCCTGAGGTCACAAGTCACTCATTTCTTTCAGGGTTTTGTTTGCTTTGTTTTTAATTTTTCTTTTCTTTTTTTTCATGGTTTCATTTATCTATTTACTTTGGTTTTACATTTAAAAAAAATTTTCAATTATAGTTGTCATGCTATATTATATTAGTTTCAGGTATATACCCCAGTGATCAGACATTATATAACTTACTTGCTGATCATCCTGATAGATCTCGTACCCATCTGACACCATGCATAGTTATTAGAATATTATTGACTACATTTCCTATGCTGTACTTTACATCCTTATGACTATTCTGTGACAACCAAATTGTACTTCCTAATCCTTTCACCCTTTTCATCCGTCACCCCAATCTTCCCCTCATCTGGAAATGGTTAAAATGTTCTCTGTATGTATGATTTCATTTCTATTCTGCTTGTTTACTTATTTTTTTGATCCAATTATTGATAGATATTTATTCATCACCATTTTATTGTTCATATTTTTATGTTCTTTTTTCTTCTTCTTAAGGAAGGCCTTTTAACATTTTATGTAGTACTGGTTTAGTGGGAAGGAACTCCTTTAGTTTTTTCTTGTCTGGGAAGCTCTTTATATGTCCTTTGATTCTAAATGATAGCATTGCTGGGTACAGTAATCTTGGTTGTAGGTCCTTGCTTTTCATCATTTTGAATACTTCTTGCCAATCCCTTCTGGCCTGTAAAGTTTCTGCTGGGAAATCAACAAACAATCTTATGGGAGCTCTCTTGTAGACAACTAACTGCTCTTTTCCTACTCTTTGTAACATTCTCTCTTTGTCTTTAGCTTTTGCATTTTACTATAACATGTCTTGGTATGAGCCTCTGTGGGTTCATTTTGTTTGGGATTCTCAGCACTTCCTGGACTTGTATGTCTATTTCTTCCACCAAGTTCAGGAAGTCTTCTGTCATTATTTTTTCAGATAGATTTTCAATTTCTTCTTCTCTCCTCTTTCTGGAACCCCCATGATTGAATGTTGGTACACTTGAAATTGTGCCAAAGGCTCCTTCTATTATCCTCATTTTTTTAGATTCTTTTTTTCTTTTTGCTGTTCTTATTGGATGATATGTTCCAAATCACTGTTTTCATTCTTGGCTTCATCTTCTCTACTGTTGACTCCTTTTGAATTATTCTTCATTTCAGTTAGTGTGTCCTTCATTTATACTGGTTCTTTGGCATGGTTTCCATGTCCTTTTTATGCTGTTAAAATTCTCTCTAAGTTCCTCTACTCTGTCCCTAAGTTCATTGAGCAGTCTTATGACCAGTGTTTTGAACTCTGCATCTAGCAGATTGCTTGTGTCCATTTTATTTAGTTCTTTTTTTCTGGAGTTTTGTTCTATTCTTTCATCTGGGACATGTTTCTATGTCTCCTCATTTTGGCAGACTCATTTTTTTTTCTATGTATTAGGTAAAGCTGCTACATCTTTTGGCCTTGGTAGAGTGGCCTAATTTAGCAGATGTTTTACAGGGTCCAGTGGCACAGCCTCCCCAGTCATCCAGCCTGAGTACTCCTGGTGTTCCCCACATCTTCATGTGGGCTATACACACTTTCCTGTTGTAGTTGAGTCTTGACTGCTGTTGGCACATCAGTGGGAGGGATTTACCCCTAGGTAAATCAGCTGCAATGACTGGTTGTGATCACCATTGAGGATCTGCTGTGCAGGAGCCTACACCATTGAGCAGGACTTACTTCAGCAGGACACTGGTGCCTGCTGAGTCTTCCCCTTGATTATGTTGCTTGTGGAGGTTTTTGGATGGTACTTTGATGTGGTCTGAAGCTGTCCACAGAATGCACTCACTCTGGGACCTCCCAGGAGTTGGAGGCCATGATCAGCCATTTCCTGTGTTCTGCCCAGGGCTGCCTGGCATTAGCCATAAAACCATCTGCGGATGGCTGCTACTTGTGCTAGGCTTGGAGGTGCCCAGGAGAGACTAAGCAGTGAACCAAGGTCGGCAGCTGCTAATACCAGGCCTGGGTCCACTACAGAGGTATGGGGCATGCTGAGGCCAAATGTTGTTATTTTGAGAGATTTTAGGAAGGTCAAAAGCATGAGCCAAGATAGGCCATTCTATGGTAAAGTAACTGGAAAGGGATTGGATGGGCCTGCAAGTTGAGTGCGGCAGAGTCTCAGGGAATCACCAGGCAGGGCAAACTCTCATATCCAGGTTGATGGAGACTCAGATATGGTGCCTGCCTACAAACTTTGTGAGGGAAATACTCAGAGAAGGAACAATGGCTTCTGCCAACACTTCTCTTTGGGAGAAAGCTGCCCCCTCAGCTCTTGACCTGATGCTAGACGATTCTCCCCATATGTCTCTGGTACCTTTTGAGCTGCTTCCCCAGTGCTGGAACCCAAAGGGAGTAAGTATGAGTAAGTCTGTGGGCAGATTACTTAAGAGGAAGTTCCTGGGGCTCCAGAGCCCTCCATTTCACTCAGCCACAATATCTACTGGTTTTTACAGCCAGAAGTTATGGAGATGCCTCTTCCTAGCACCAGAACCCTGGGCTGGGAGGCCTGGTGTGGGGCTGGGACCCCTTGCTCCTCAGGGGGAACCTATGGAGCTCAGATGTACTTCCTTATTATTATCTTTCACACATGAGCATGGGATCAACCCATTCCTCATCTCTGTCCTCCCTACTAGTCTCAATGTGGCTTCTTCTGTATATCCTTAGTTGTAGTATTTGTGTTCAGCTATATTCAGGCAGTTCTGAATGATGATTATTCTATAGCTTAGTTGTAATTTTCATGTCGTTGTGGGAGGATGTGAGTACCACATTTACTCATGTTGCCATCTTGACGTGAAACATGTTTTTGTTTTTTCATTCAGAATCTGTTAATGTTAGTAATCTGGTTGGTCAGAAGTGATCATGCCATGTGAGAACTGGCTGTTTTCACTTATGTCTAAGAATTTTAAAAGAAAAAGATATTGTAGGAAGGAAAGGGAGTCTATGTATCAAAATGTTCAAAGTGCAGAAGGTGTTTAGTGAGTGGTGTAGCAATGTAGTACAGAGGTTCTCTAGACTGGGCTGGTCTCTTTCCCTTCAGTCAGTGCAGAAGACATGCCTCCCTTTTTTATCTTCCAAATGCCATTTATTACGTTCCAACCTGCCATTTTTGGATTCTAATTAAGTAAATGTATTTTTATTGTCTATGAGAGAATTTTGTAGGCACTAAACTATTGGATCTACCCACAACCTCTTTTTATTCCTTCTCTCTCTCCTTTCCTTCCTCACTCTCTCTGTCTTTCAAGTTTTTGTACTTGTTACTTATAAGAATTTAAACCTCAATTGTTTAGAGTGCAACATATTTTTTAATTAAAGTTATTCGGTTGACATTGGTTAATAAATTATATAGGCTCCTTTTTAAAAATATATTTTATTAATAAATTAAATAGATTTTAACAGTATAATTCTATGCTACATCATTTGTATATTGCATTCTGTGCCCACCACCCAGAGTCAAAATACATTTTAATCTAAGAGTTATATTTCATGACAGGATCCATACAAAATTATTTCTAGTTTCCCTTTCTATTAGGAGAATGCCCACCATGAATGTATCAATTCTTATTGAAATAGCAGAACAAATTGATTCATTGATTTGGAATGGGCATGCCCTTATTTTGGAATGGGCTCTGAATTAAAAACAAAACAAAACAAAACTAGATACATCTTCTGGCCAGGTTGGGACAATTTATATGGTGTCTTTGAGAGGCCCCAGAACTCTGAATCTAATCAAGATAAAAAGCATTGAACAGTTGAAAGGAATCACATGTATTCTCAGGCACATGTAGCAAACAGGGCCCAGGTTTCTGGGGGGTGGAATATAGTAGAACCTTTGAAATTCTGATTATAAGCCCAGAAAGACCTGATTAAGTCTGGCTGTGAAACTGGAAGTGTGCCATCTAAACCTGTGGGAAAGTTCACATTAAGTAAAAGGAGATGGAATAAGAAAAACTTTAGGACAGTCCCTGTTTTATCTTGTCAAAAGTCATTGTTAGAAACTAGAGGTAGAAAGAAGTGATTTTTTTTTTAAGGAAAAAAAAAATCCCATGACTTTCAAGCTTTCTATTTTTATTTGGACAGTGCGGCAAGCTCTGTTTAAAACGTTTGATGGGTTTCCATCTTTGTACCCCCTCACTTATTTTTCCCAGCACAATCTTGTACGTGTAACTCTGTGCTGTCTAAAAAAGAAGGTAAAATACATATGTATGACAAGTAAGGTGGTATCCAAGTACTGTGGATTTCTAAAGAGAGTTTAAAGGTAAGTCATAAAAAGGCTTTTAAAATTATTTTTTATTTTCCAGGGATTGTTGCCTGTGAAGCGCCTAACAACAAATTAGATAAATTCATGGGAGTTCTCTCTTGGAAGGACAGCAAGCACTCCCTCAACAATGAGAACATAATCCTGAGGGGCTGTGTCCTGAGAAACACCAGCTGGTGTTTTGGAATGGTTATTTTTGCAGGTATGGCTACCGCCCAGGATTGGTTAGTGGGGAATGCCTTCCTGACTTTTGCATGGGCATAGCCTGGGGCTCTCTGGGTTGGATGAACACAGTACTTTTGTTCTACCTGAGGTGCAACCTGCATTGACGACAGAGTGCAGGGCACCAGGGGAAGACACCAATGCTCTGGAATAGTGTGTGGTTCCACTGTGTGAGGAACAACTGACATCATGAATATATTCCTAAGGGTACTTGGGCCTTAATTACTCAGTGGGTGGTAGATGCCTACTGTTTAATTTCTCATTCTTTAACCCCATCTCAATCATCCTCATCATTATATTTTTTAATTTCCCCTTTGAAATGGGAAAATAGTGTTAAAAAAACAAAAACAACCCTGCTCTGATGTTAATTTTGTAGTTTGCAAAGATCAAATAATTCTTTTGGAAAAGCTCAGAGCTCCCGCAATTGTTTCTGTTTATACACCATAGCTTCTTCTCTTAGTCAGTAGGACAGTGGGCCCTGAAAGACTGTGTGTGAGGGAAGTGGGGTGGGAGTGGGGAAGGAGGGGAGGTGCTTTTAACTCTTCCTGCTGCCCACTTTTCCATTCTCTGCTTTGTGTCTGTGGGCCCGATGTGGCACTCTACTGTGGAGGAAGCTTACAGTAGCACCACTTCATGAAGCCACTCAAATTGTATTCATGGTTTCAATTGCCAGCCCTTGACTTTTCAAAATCCTACTTATTGTGACATCAAATTAGTTGGGGCCCGTTGACTATATGTGCAATCAAAACCGGAATGTTTCTCTTAACTGACTTTCCTCAACAACAACAAAATGTTTATTAAAGACTCAAAAGGGTTCCAAACCTGGAAAATTCCTCCCCCTGCTTTGTAAATACTCTCAGCTGTGTGTGTTAACAAGACTCTTGCTGCTTGGGACATTGCTATCAAAAGGACTTGAGAAATTACCTAGGAATGAGGCAGTGTATGTGCTTTTACCTGGGAATGAATCTGGTTTCATATTTCTCTTATCAGTTGCTTTCATTCTTTTGTCATGGAAATAAGCCTATGATGATATCTTTCTTTATTTGCATCGCTCTTGCATTGAGAAAAAGAGAGCCAAGCTCATACCTTCCTACTTAATGAAGGGGAGACTTCTTGAAGGTCCTGTGTTAGGAAGGACACTCCTGGTTTGCTCCCTGTCATCCTAGAAATGGGAGTGCTTGATCCTAGGAATGGGCGGTAGCCCAAAATTTTGTTTGCATTTGAATGGTCTTGTTTGAAAAGACTGATTCAGGACTATGGTTCAGCCTGTTAAGCTAGGACAGCTGCTCTGAAGCACTCAGAGGCCAAGTTTTCCTTCAGAAGGTTGGCTCTTTGGGAAAATGCTCCTGCAAAGAAGGAAGTCGGGTAGTAAGATGAACAGGTCTTCTTCTAAGCAGTATAATAGAAAGTTCACAGAATCTCGATTGGAGAGATCTGGGTTCAGACTTGTTTACCAGCTGTAGGATGTTAAGCTTTGGTTACTTACTAAGCTTTAGTTTTTTCTACTGTAAATGGGGGTAATAATAAGTTCATTAGACAGTCATTTTAAACTCTCAGTGAGACAATGCATATGGGAAGAGGATGCTTGACAAATGTTGTTTTCCTTCCTTCCGTGCTTCTCTCTTCTTTCGGCATCAGTTCAGAGTGCATTGCTGACTATATAGGCTGAGAGTTGGGAAAATGTACTGCTCTTTGGATCTTGGCAGGGAAGTGTGGGAACACCCTCTTCGTTTGTGATGTGGCCTGCATGTTTCCTGGCAAGAAACCTTCACGAGGCAGATATTTGTAATGCACAGCATGCCTCCATTGACTTTAGTCTGGGCACAAATGTTGATAAAAAGCTTAACTAGAATGATGGCAGGCAGAATGGTTGGTTTCACCAGTTTCAGATTTGCACAGGTGAATGTCTCACAACCATTAAGTTCTGAAACATCTAATTTGGGAGACTAGTTCCAGGTAAACACCTAGATGTTTTTAAAGTTATTAAAAATGAATTATTAACTATTCTTTTTGTATTATTACTCTAATTATACCTACAGTTGAGGATTGTGCAAAGAATAGTCAAGACAGACATGGTTTACTTTTCAAATCTATAACTTATGAGGATCTAAAGTACATTAACAGCTAAGCCATGCCTCCTGGAAATGACTTTTCCTTCATGCTCAAGAGATGAGAAAGTCTTGTTTCTGAGGATAGGAGACTTATTCATTTAAGGAGTTCATTTCATATTGGTGCACAGTAGGTTTTTGTGCTGGATGTCTTCTGTTTGCTCCTCTAGATGTACTGTCAGCCTTCCCCACTCTTGTCTCTGACCTGGAGGTTGACTTGTGTGGTTTACATTAAGGTTTCCTTCAACTTTGGCTTTTAGTTGGGCTGTGTCATTGGGGATCCCTGGATAGAGATAGATCAAAGAGAAAGATTGAGATAAAGGTACTTACTCTTCCTGACAGTCTGCCTGCATAGTCACTTCAAATAGCTGAGTCCCTCAACATACAGTCACTCTTCCTCTAAGGACTGGAGATTGTACATACTTCTCTCCTTAAGGTCCAGTAACCACTCCCTCCCCTCATCCCTTCCTTCGGGCTTAGATGGAAACATCTTGATTGCTACTAAGTCCCTGGTTACTTACTTAACCTTCAGCCTCCCCTGTACCCCTTCCCCCATGCACACTTTTGTATAGTCCCTTTATAAATAAACCTTTCCCCAGTTGTCCTTGTTCAGTGTGTCATCTATTTCCTGTTCGGACTCTGAGTGAGTCATAGTCTTAAATATACATTGATTGAATGAGTCAGTAAATTAATTAGTTAATGGACTATTTCGTATAATTTTAAAATAGTGGTTGAGAGCAAGAGATTTAGAGTTAGCTAAATCTGGGTTCAAATTCTGGCTCTGACCCCTATTAGACAAGAAATCTCAGGCAAGTTACTTAAATTCTTTAAACCTCAGGCTCATTATTAGTGAACTAAGGATAACTAATTTATTGGCTTGTTTTAAGCATTAGCTGAGATAATAGATAAAAAGCACATATGGACATTGCCTAAAACATAGCAGGTGCATAATAGATTAATTCATTAAACAGTTATTTATTGAGTGCCTACTATGTGTCAAGCACTATGCTAGTTACTCATTTGTAAATAATTCAGAACATGAACAAAACAAATACAGTCTCTTCACTCGTGTGGTTTTGAATCTGGTAGGAGGCAGAGACTTTAATATCAAATAATTGTAGTAATGAATATATAGTCTTAAACTGAGGTAAGTGCTCTGAAGAAAAAGAACATGAACTTAAAAGAGTATGCAATATAGGAACATGAAGGGAAAGAACAAGTTAGCTAAAAGACATGTCATGGGTAAAGGGCCTGTTGAAGGCGTGAGGATGGTGAGGTCAACAACAACAACAACAACAACAACAACAGAGAAAAAACAATAACGAACTTAAGCAGGCCACTGTGGAGCAGCGGAGCATGGAGAGTAAGAAGAATGGAGGTGAATTAGTGCTTGGAAACATGGATGGGGACTGGGCTACGTTGGACCTTCTGGCCTGTATTCAGAATTTTAGTCATTATCCTAAGAGTATCGGGAAGCCATTGCAACTTTTCAAACAGATGGTGTGGGTTTATGTGTGAAATTTCAAAGGTTCACTCTTCACTACAGTGTTTGTAAAGTTGGTAAGTAGTAGGTGCCCAAAAATAAAATATATGATTGCAGTGGGGAAGGGGGAAATATTGATTAGAGTTGGGGGCAGAGTGGATTTAGGGAGGCAAAGTTACAAGGATTTTTATTATAGTCCAGTTGAGAGATGATGGTACTGTGGATTAGAGGGTGAGTCATGGAGGTAGACTAGACTCCTAGGTTTCTCCCAGACTTCAGAGCTGGGGGAGAAGTAGTGCCATTCACTGAGATGAGGAACCCTGGAGCCAAGAGTATGGAGGATAGTGACAGACAGATGCCTGGGAATGACAAGTTGGGCTGGACAATGGCCACTTGAGAAGCCTAAGAAAGATTCAGGTGAAGATGTCATTTAGGCAATTAAATATATGGATTTAAATATATGGGTTTTTAGAGCTCAGAGGAGCAAAGCTGGAGATATACATTTGGTCTATAAATGGTAAATGGAGTTGTGGCCTGAGGTGAGATTGATCAGGGAAGCTGGATTAAAAACAAAGAGAAGATGGTCTATGCCTGAGTCTTAATGAATCCTAGTATTTCATGGCTGGGTAGAGAGTGATGGTCATTGTGGAAGACAAAGATGGAGCTACCAAAGAGGTACAAGGAAAAGCAGGAGAACATAGTAACATGGAAGCTAAAGGAAGAATATGTTTCAAAAGGATGAAATAGTCAACAGTGTTAAAGGTTGCTGAGAGGTCAAAGAAGGTATAGAAGATATTGATGATAACACCAGATCTATATGAATAGAATGATTGGCCCAGAAACTAGGTTGAGTAATGAGTAAGAGATGAGAAAACAAGGACTGTTAGGTATAGAAAAGTCTTTAAGAGATATGGCTGTGAGAGGAAGAAGAGATGTGTACATCAACATCTGTGGATATATTTAAATAAATGCTTAAAAAGCCATTAAATGGATTCTTTGCTAGTCTGTGTATGTATGTACTTGTATGCATAAGATGTAAATTTTTAGCATAAATCTGGTCCACCAATATTTCAACTTTTAGCAATCACAAACTTTATTTGCCCTTGTGATCTTTACTATAAAAGAAATATTTCCCACCCTCAATGTCCACATGATTTTAATAAATGATTTTGAGAAAATGTGGGTGGCCTTCTTTACACAGCAGTCGCTGGGGTAGGACACTGAGGTACAGTTTCCACCCCAAGACAGTAAATATTTCTGAGACCCAATCTTTGCTTCAATGTGTTTTTAAAGTAAATGAGAGTCTTTAACAATGTGCCCATTCTTCCCTAAACTTTGGAATTTCATGTGTGCCTTCCCGCTCTTCTGTCTTGCATTTTTCCTCCCCTGCTATATTAAATGGCTTCATGAATCGAAAATAATCACGGAAAGATGATGTGTAGAAGGAACACTAGACAAGTCAGCTATAATTAAAATTTAATTGCTTCTGTTTAGCATCTTCTTTGTCCACAAGGAATTGCCTTAGCAATAATATATTCTAACATTCTCCTTTGTTAATTACCTAATAATCTACCTCTAAGGCAGTTAATAATATTCTTAAAATTCCTTGAACAAGGCACTTAGTCAACATATCTATCATGAGATAATCTATTTTATTTATCTGAAATTAATCTAACACAAGATTAAAGATAATTCTTGCCCTTACATAAAGTATATATTATATACATAGTGTGTAATACATAGTAAAGTTTTAAATTATTTCCTCATGTATTGTTTGGAGAATATTTCTTTATTAAAGGCATTGCAAATCTTTTTGGGAAACAGATTCATAATTTGATTTCTTATTTCAACTTTTAGTTTTTGACCTTAGTGTCCTGAATTGTATATTTTGTTTAGCTTTACTTTTGTTTATGCTGTTAGAGTTGTTCTGGCTTTTTCTCCCTTTAAGCACCTACACCCAATCCCACCCCGAGCCAGTCCCCATATCGTTGTCCATGTACATGGGTTGTGCAAAAATGTTCTTTGGTGCTTCACCATCTTTTATCCTGTTCCCCCATCTCCTTTTTGGCAGCTGTCAGTCTGTTTTATGTATCTGAGCTTCTGTTACTATTGTATTTTGTTCATTGGTTTATTGTGTTCATTAGATTTCATATATAAGTGAGATCATGTGGCATTTTCCTTTCATTGACTGGCTTAATTCACTTAGCATAATTTTCTCCAGGTCAATCCATGTTGTTGTGAAATGTAAGAGTTACTTCTTTTTTTTTACTGCTGCATAGTATTCCATTGTGTAAATATACCACAGTTTTTTTTTATCCACTCATATACTGTTGGGCAGTTAGGCTATTTCCAAATCTTGGCTAAATAGCACTGCTATAAACATAGGGGTGAAAATATATTTTTTGTCTTGGTATCTTGCAATCCCTGGGGTATATTCCCAGAAGTGGAATTGCTGTGTCAAAAGGGAGTTCCATGTATGAATGACCCATGGACATAGACAACATGTTGGGGAGTAACTGTGGGAATGGGGCAATGGTTGGGCAGAAGAGGGCGAAAGGGTAAAAACTGTCCCCATATTGTAATAGAAAAACAATAAAATATTTAATAAAAAAGAGTTCCATTTTTAATTATTAAAGGATACTCCATATTTTTCCACAGTGGCTGCATCAGACTGCATTCTCACCAACAGTGCATTAGGGTTCCCTTTTCTCCAAAACCTCACCAACACTTGCTATTTGTTGATTTATTGATGGTAGCCATTCTGACAAGTGTAAGGTGATATCTCATTGAAATTATTCCTCACTCTGATGGACTTAATTATTTTTAGCTGCTTCAAACTACAGGCATATTTGTACATAGACTTTGAAAAGTAGCTTTTCTGAAACCTTTCACTTACAAGTTCGGTTTGGATTTATTCTATTCTAAGGAGGCCAACACTATTTCAGAATTGTTAAGCCACCAGTTGAGAATCATATACAACTTAATAATAGTGCTTTCTTGTTCTTAATACAAGTTAAATTATTTAAAATATTTTTTTTTATTTTCAAAAACATCTGATATGAGTAGGAATTCCTCCTCTACTTCCTCCTCCTCCTCCTCCTCATCATCTAATAATAGTAATTTCGAAGTTGTTATTAAAAAAATTTTTTTTTTGCAGGTCCTGACACTAAACTAATGCAGAACAGTGGAAAGACAAAGTTTAAAAGGACAAGCATTGATAGATTGATGAATACTCTAGTACTATGGGTAAGTTACTAACAAAATTAGGCAATATCATTAGTCATTGTTATCTTAATATATTTCTTATATTTTGCTGAGAATTCTTTCAGAAGTCTACATTCTCTTCATGTAGTTTGTATTTGGAGATTTTACATTTTGGGCCCAGTTATATAGCCCTCTACTTTCCAGATTATGATTTCTCAACCTTTGATAAAGTTTCTTATGAGAGGTAGGTTAGTGGTCATGGAGGTTTCATAGTCTTGCAAGTTCTCCATATTCCAAACGTTGTTTTTAAAAAACAAAACATAATTTTTAAGGTAGTTTGGTCTTTTTGTTGTCTTACCTTCACTTATATCCTCTCTTCGTAGCTTATGGACAGGGCTGGCTTCATGAGTGTGTAACATGTTCAATTACACAGCTCTTTACTCTGAAAGGCCTCACATTTGCTACTGATCTGCTATTGCTATGTAGAGTGGTTTTGTTTTTTTCAGAAATTCTTAAAACATTTTGAACAAGAGGGTCACACATTCTCATTTTGTCTGGGCCCTGAAAATTATGTAGCTGATTCTACTTATGAATCCTCTGTGACCGAAGTCACAGTTCTCCTTCGTGAAGACTTCCAAATCTCCTAGCCCATGGTTATCTCTTCCCTCTGAACTTTTATTCTCATCTGAATTTTTTGAAATTATTTCCTCTACCACCCATTTACTAAACACAGTCAGGTACTCCTTGTAGCCTACCCACTTTGTAGTTAATTTTATGCTACCTCAGGCTGTGGATCTGATTGCCGTTTGATTTTTCATGTGATATTGCTTTGCTTCCTCATGTAGGGGTTAAGTTTTAGGACATTGACTTTGAAATATAAGGACAGTAACTTTGAACCACGTTCCCCACCTACCCCATCACAGACTCACAATGATAAAATCTCAGCTTAATATTTGCTTAACTAATATATAATAGTGGGACTTTGAATAAGGAAAGAAGGAAATGGTCTCTTATTTTGGTACAAAATTGTGTCCAGGCTCTGTGTATTACTGTTAGTAGTATCCTCATACTGCACTTCTCTCCAGTTGCACCTGTCTTCTTGGATCAGAATCCATGGGGTCAAGGAGACATGCCCAGAAGGAGTCTGTGACCCCATCCTATTATCCCCAGTTTAAATGACCCTGTGCTCACTTCTAGGGTTTGCATTTGGATTGTATATCTACCCACCACAGACTAAAATTCCTGGGTTGTGAAGCAGGAATTGTCCCACCTTTTAGTTTTGTTTTAATATCATTTTTTAAAAAAGGTTTAATTTATTTATTTTTAGACAGAGGAGAAGGGAGGAGAAAGAGAGGGAGAAAAGCATCAATATGTGGTTGCCTCTGGTGTGCCCCCTGCTGGGTACCTGGCCTGCAACCCAGGCATGTGCCCTGACTGGCAATCAAACCGACAACTCTTTGGTTTGCAGGCCAGCACTCAATCCACTGAGCCACACCAGCCAGGGCTGTTCCAGCTTTTTGTACTCTAAGAGTCTGTCCTTAAATTAGGGAATTTAATGCCAAGTATCAATAATTTTAATGCTCTTAGAGTAATTCAGTTAAATTAATTTATAGCACCAGCCATTGAAAGAAAGACGATACTGTATGATACAGGTATCACACCGGTAGGATTTTAGGAATTCACGATTCAACTTTTCTCTAATGCATGGTTTTCTAATATACTTTAAATTGGCTTTCCCCAAACTTTGTCATCTTAATATGCTTATTTTGTTCATGAAAGAAAAAAGAAAAAAGCAGTTCTAGAACATCTGAATATTCTTTCATGGAGGAGAAAGGAAATGGAAAGGAAAAGCATTCCTGTTCTCTAGCCCCATTCCTCCCGTGACAGTGGCTGGCCCCCGCTCCTATTACAGTGCGACACTTAGCAGGACAAAGTCCTCTGAACACTGTGTTCAGCTCAGATCTTACAAGGGTCACTGATTTTGTGTTCTTCCTGCTTAAAGCTTGAATTTGGGGCTCACAACGGACTCGCCTTGCTGTCTCTCTATTTGCTGTACCTCCAAAGTGTTTGGTTTGCTAATACGGATACTAATCACAATTTAAGAGTCAGCTAATTTTCAGGTTGCTTCCTACCTTTTTTCTTATCTCAAAAAGAAAGTATATATGTCATGAAATATTTTAATTAATCCTTATTTTTCTTGTAAAGCTTAAGTAGGTATTATGCAGCTAGATCTGCAGCCAAAAGACTAGCCCAGCCTGGGATAAATCTTTATCCTTGATATTTTCTTCTTTTTGCTTGTGTGCCTTGGGTGATTATATAAGTTATCATTTAAACAGGATACTTTTGAAGGGGAAAGGAGGGAGTGCTATGATATTACACCTGGACAATAGATGTAAACTGGGTTTGACCAAAGCACATCTTCTTTACTTGATTCACTTAAACATATGCACTCATTATGAATAGATTAATTAAAGTTATTAGCTTTATGGCAGTGGACAAGTTATGTGATTTTTCTGTGCTTCTACTTTATTTTTTTTTTTATTTTTTATTTTTTTTGACCAGTGAAGTGTGAGAAAATAATTGTTCCTACCTCAGAGTCAATGGGAGAATTGAGAAAATATATATAAAATATTTAGCTGAGTTCCCTGCATAATAATGTTAAACTTTACTCTCATGATTAATGATAAGTAAGGAGAGCTTTGTATAACTTGCTTTACAAGTGACAATTTCTTGGAGTTGGAAGTGTAATTAGATTGCATTGATATGACTAGTTTTGAGTTTAAGTTAACTTTAACCAGACTTCTATTCTCATTTCAGATTTTTGGGTTTCTGGTATGCTTGGGAATTATTCTTGCAATAGGAAATTCGATCTGGGAGAATCAAGTTGGGGAGCAATTCAGAACTTTCCTTTTCTGGAAGGAAGGAGAGAAGAACTCTGTGTTCTCGGGATTCTTAACATTCTGGTCATATATTATTATTCTCAACACAGTTGTACCCATTTCATTATATGTGAGGTAAGATGAGAGTTTATAATTTAGTGAAGGCTTTTCATCAAAGGCCTTTGTTTTTCATAGTCACTGTTTGTTTTAAAATTACAACAAGATAGATGTCTCGCTCTGTCTATGATCTGCCACATCTGTTACAAATGAAGCAACTAAACTGGTTAATCTGTTTAACTTTTACATTTTCAAATTACAATAAGTGCATTTTATTTTCTTCTTCATTCAATTCATTTTCTTATGAATCCTTTTCTTTGGAAGATGTGGACTGGAATCTCATGCAACCTGATCTGTTCGAGTTGGGTTGATGTTGGGTAGAACTAAAATAATATTTAGGGACATCTATGGTGATGGTGCCCCCCTGCTTCTAGTCTGGCTCCAGATACCTGGGTTCAGATCCTATTCTACACTTACTAGCTCTGTAAATTGGGCAAGTTAACTGACCTTTTAGTGTCTCGGTTTTCTCATTTTAAAAATAAAGAAAATAATAGGATTTTCTGAGGAGTAAACAAACATGTAATGCTCTTAGAAGAATGCCTGACACATCATAAGAGCTTAATAAATATTAATTTCTTCTATTATTATTATTTGTAACTATAAAAGAGTACATGAAAGGGTTGAAATAGAGTCGGTGGTATGTAACCATTATTAAAATTATGAAATAGAAGTATGATTCATAACTTCTACTACAACTTGGTCTGCCATTTCTAGATTTGGTCCTACAAACTAGAGGTAAAATGGTCTCACACAGATACATACATATATACACATATATAGGTAAAAACTTATACACACACCTCTTTATATATGTACATATATATGTATGTGTGTGTGTGTTTGATAAGTGGGCCACAGAGTCTATACCTGAGACATTCGCGATCTCAGTTTTACTGAGCCTGAGCCAGACAGTCCCAGAGACGCTGGAGCCAAGAGGAGAGTTGGTTGTTTGACTTTACTCATCACCAGTATTTTAACAATACACATTACCAGCTCTAAATCTCCACTAATTTTTATGAGCTTATTTTTTTCTCTTTCCAAAATTCTAGCTATGATGAAGCAAGGGAAGTCTAATGCACAAATCCCCCCTTGTTTTGGATAGTGGTCAGGACACTGAAATGTCTACTTGTGGGAAGCTGACTGGAAGTAGTGGCGTGCTGCCATAACACCACAAATTACGTGGAGCCTTATGGAACTATGGTCAGAGTGGGGTCTACTTAAACTGTATCATACTAGCTCATCTTTGATTCTGAGGACCTCTCAAACTTGTATCCAATTATAAAGTCTGTAGTGAATCCTGCTCTTTGCCAGAAGCTATGGTCAGCTTTTATAGCTTTCCTTTCATGTCCTAAATGAACAAAAAATGCTCGTAGTGGCTTACCACCAGTATGTGTGCAGTTTCTTATGTCCTCATGAAGGAAGTGTATTCTATATACACCCTTTCTTTGAAGTGCATTGGCATTTTTCATTTAACGATTTGAAAGTGGTTTTCTTATTTTTTTTTTTTTTAGACCAAAGCTAGATTCCCAGGTTAGTGTTCCTTTTCCTGCTTATGTGTACATTGTACTGGTGGAAAGAAAATCTGTTTGGAATAGTCCAAACCCAGGTTCTGCTCTTGGCACTGCCACTGATAGCTGTGTGGCCTTGGAGAAAGCACTTGGCCTCTCTGTGCCTTAGTTTGCCTGTCAAATATGTGCTGCTCAGTAAAATAAGGGGTTTAAAATGATTCCTGAGTGCTCCATATAGTACCCCCTTACCTTTAGATGACATTTTATATTTCATATAAAGTGCTTTCACATATTTTATCTCATTTATATCTCCTAATGATCTTGGGAAGTAGTTATTGTTGGACTTTTTTCAAAAATGAGATGACTCACGCAGGATCATGGAGCTGGTTAGGGACAGAACCAGGATCCAAATCCAAGTCTTCTGACACTTGGAACAGTGTTTTTTCCTCTATGCCTAAGCTGTGTACGATTTAATAATCGGTGAAGGTATCAAGGGAAAAGAAGGGGCTGGAATTCTCTCTCTGTTGGTGAGGCATAGTACTGATGAAGATAAACATAAGATTTGCTCTCTCTAAATAGAAACAGCGACTCTGATCTCAACTTGAGGGAAAAGCATTCTGAGGAATTTCAGAGTGCTCAGTCAGAAAGATGGAGATCTAGAAAATGAGAACTCCCAGATATTTTTAAGGTTTTAAAAAATATATTGATGAGAGAGAGAGCATTTGGAGGATAAATGCCTTCACCTTTAGCTTCCATTAGGCTTTTGAATACACACCAAGGATAAATTAGTGCCACATGTCACTTGAGAATAAACATGCAGAATTTACTTTGAATTGTTAATAATTCCACATGAGCAAAGGACATTGATTGTGGTAAGATATTTCTATGTTGTCAATTTGTTTATCTGTAATGTTAAACATACCGAGCTATGGTTTTTTAATACATCAACTTAAGAAATGCATCCATTGTACTCTCAAGGAATTAGCTTTTAAGTGTTTTTTCCAAAGTGATAAGAACTCATTGCCATTGCTTGTTTTGCCACCGAGTAGGGGAATCATAAGCCCTGCTCTTTGAGCATCCAGGCACAAAACACTAAGGGGCTCGATTATGCTAACTCTGAACACTTGTCTCCTTTTCTCTACCATGAAACAAAGAGCTGAATGTTGCACTGTGACTCTCTTAAATCCTCTTTTCCCAAACAAAAAGGATACACTTTCTCTCTACAGGCTATTTTAAGGTCTAAGAATTCAAATTAACTAAGAGTACTTTCATTGGCTTGTACTGCAACACATAAGGATCAAATTCTGTTCCATTCATTCTGTCTTGAGATTTCAGGGAGCTAGTTTGCTTTCAAATAAACGAAAGCTTCAACTGACGCGCAGTTCCCAGCGTAAGGCTCTTCTTACGGCATTCTTAAGTTCAGGTCTGCACTGGCTTTATCACATGCCTGAATTCTAGTCTTGGCTCTGTGCTTAATTGCTTATGTGTCCCAGGGTTAGTCACTTAACCTCTGTTCATGTCCTTATTGATGAAATTAGTGAATAGAGAGTCGGAATTCATTCATAAAATCCTGATTGGCTGCCTATGACAGGTAAGGCACTGTGACTGTGTACACTAATGCCTTTTGAATGGGGGAAATAAGGAAAACAAAGCTGACTTAGAACAGCTACCAAGGAACTTATAAGGCACTGTGTGTGCCAGGAAGGGTGGGGGTTGGTAGGGGGGGTGGATACAGTGTAGTAAACCATAACAGGAAAATATATAAATAAATACAAGCAGAATATGACTTTTACTTTATTTTTATTTTACTTGTATCTCATTTATTTCCATATATATTCTCTGAAGCAACTAGTTTCTGATTTCTGCCTAGTATGTATACAAGATTGAGTTATAAAGTGTTAACAGAATTTAAATTTCAACAGACATTTGTGCTTACTTCTTTTTTTTTACTTTATTTTTATTGTCCACACTATTACAGATGCCCCCATTCCCTCGCACTTTGCCTGCTTCCACCCAGCCCCTGCCGCCGCCAACCCCCACCCCCTGGCCATCACCACACTGTTCAGAGTATGATATTCATTTTTATATCATATGATTCTACAGAGTCATAATGTGATTTTTAGCGTGTGTTTAAAAAAGCGTTACCATTTACATGGTTAGAAAATGAACTGGCACCATACCACTTTTGGGAGGGAAATGCAGACATCTCATGCAGTTATAGAACCAGAAGTATAAAATTTAATGTCCCTAACACACTTGGTTGTCCTCTTTTGTCCTCTTTTTGTCTCTTGTTTACATATGTCTCCTTGAAGACAAACTGCTGTGAACTTTCTCACTTCAGTGGAGAAAACCAAGGCTTAATTCCCACTAAGATCAGAAATAAACTGTGGGTCTTTGCTATTACCATTACTATTTTGTACTGTTCTGAATGTCCTTGTTAATGTACTAAGACATGCAACTGAAGTACCAATGAACAAAATGAGACATGAAACTAAAATTGAAATAAACCTATTGGAAATAAAGAACACAATGTGATTACAATTCTAGAAAATCCAAAATAATGATTCCGTGTAACTATTAGTAAGATAATTCAATTAAATGCCTGATTTTAACACATAATCTCATTTTTTAGTATTAAAATAACTTTGTCTTTTAAGCCAATAACAACTGAGAAAATTTTCTCATTAGTAAAAAGATATAAGGTCCAGAAACAAATTTATTGAGTTCTGGTGTGGGCCTGCGTGAGAAACAAGGCAAAACAAGACTAAACTAAAACTTTTTCCCGTAGAGGAACTTTTCAAAATTGAATTCCTGGAAAAGTTTGCCCTTCTTGAAGTTGTTTTAGACATTATACATACTAGTTCTTTTCAAACATTTAAGAGTCTAACAGACAATAAAAATCCTAAATAAGTTTTATGACAAAGCTGATATATTGATTTTAAAGTTTATTTAGATGAATAAACTTTATCTAACAATTACTAAAGATATTTGTCAGATGTTGATCCTATAAGGTAGAATAAATAAGATATTATAGCTAAGAATTTTTGAAAAAGAAGAGAATAAATGTTCTCTTATCTCTTCTCAGATATTGCAAAATTTTCTAAAGCTACAGTAATGAAAGCACGAGATGTATTAAGTGACATACTAAAGAACAAAATTGAAATTCCTAAAATAGGTTCTAGTGAAGAAAGTTATTTATGTGTAACATGGAAGCAGCCCAGCATAATAGGGAAAAGGTTCATTGTTAAACAAATGGTGACAAAAATCTTTCTGTTGGTAAAAATTGAAATTAGCTCTTCATATATACATCGTACTTCAAAAAAATTCTTATTGTGATAAAGGCTTAAACATGGAAAAATTAATAAAGAACTAGAAGAATAATATAGATATCTTGGTACAAGGAGGGCCTATCTAAGCAAAACTCCCAAAACAGAAACTATAAAATACGGATAAATTTAAACATTTAAAGAGAGAAAACTTCTGTATGTTAAAAATAATGGAAACCTTAAAAGACAAATGATAATTTGGGTAACATATTTGCATAATGTATATATACACACATAAATTTTATATATTTCTTAATGAATAAATAAGAAATACACTAACATCTCAATAGAAAAAATAAAATAGGCAAATAATACAATTAGATAATTCTGTGAAGAAAACAACTGGCCAATAAAATCTTAAACAAAATTTTAATACACTGAAAAGAAATTCAGTGAATGGTAATTAGATGCATTTGACTTGGCATCTAGTCAAAGATAATTTTCCATAATCTAATGGTAGAAACTTACGATGTTATAACCTTTTTGGAAATCAGTTTGGCCTTAGCATGACAAAGATTAGAAAAGTTCATACCCTTGGCTACAGAAATTTTACTTTCAGAGTTAGAAAGTCATAAATCACCACTAGACCCTAAGACAGTGCTCTTGTCCTGGTAAATAAACAGGCTAATATGACAACCCACCCCTGTTTTCACTCAGTATCTATGATGGTTTTCTCTGTGCTTTATGGAGATAATTTTTACCTCTTTTGGCAAAGTCACATCAAGCCATGTATTGGAGAGAATGTCCTCAACAACACATTTCTTTAGATCAGACATCTGACAAATATCTTTAGTAATTGTTAGTTTCTCCTAAGATTTAGGAGAGATGCCAACTAATATATAACACAAAAAATCTCACTGGGCCTGTTTAATGTAAATAGAGAACCATAGAACATTCCCTAAAGCTTTATGCAAAGCCAGCCTGTTGTTTCATGGTGCTATGAGGAAGTAACTTAGAAAGGTTTAAAAAACAGACTCTGCTGAGATGCTTCTGAAGGTCATTATGGCCTAGGGACAAAGCAGCCACATTTTCTTCTAAACTCTGAAGACTTGGGCAGACTTCCTATTTTGGCAAAGCTTTGTATGTTCTGAAATTGATGGAGCATTTCTTTTTTTTTTTCCATTTTAATGGATGAAAGTGTGGAAGTAATTCGTCTGGGACACAGTTATTTTATAAACTGGGATCGGAAGATGTATTACTCTGAGAGAGCAACACCTGCTGAAGCTCGAACGACCACACTCAACGAGGAACTGGGCCAGATTGAATATGTTTTCTCTGACAAAACGGGCACCCTCACACAAAACATCATGACTTTTAAAAAATGTTCCATTAATGGGAGAATCTATGGTAAGACAAATAGTTCTTTTTTAAAAGGATGATATTGTTAATGGTCCCTTAAAAAATAAGCAAGTCTATTTTTTTTTTTTAAGGAACCCCAAACCATCGCAGCTTTCTTGTCAATATGGACACCACCAGCATCTAACATCATACTTAGCACTCACTAAATATTAGTTGGATGCATGTTGAATAATTTAGATGAAGCTGGGTTTGGTACCATTCATGAGTAGGGAAGGGGCTTAGATGCTCTTCTGTCCGAGGTTCCACTCGGTGTTCCAACTGTGTGATTTTGCTTTGTGGCACTTAATGGACCCATATCCCAGGGAGGACAAGTTCCTTTGTAGTATTTATTTTTATTTATTTCTATCACCATTTATCCCCCCTATACCCTCCTCTACCTGCACCCGCCCCCTGACCCCCTGCAATTACCACACTGTTGTCCTTGTCCATGAGTTCCTCTCTCTCCCTCTTTTTTTTTTTTGGCTCAGTCACTCTTTGTAGTATTTTATACTTGCTTCCAGTCAGCTCTGGCTTTGATGCTAGTGCCTATGGCTGCAGAAGCTACGTCATCAATACGCAGTTCTTGTCTGCATGCTTTTGTCGGGATGCCTGCTCTTTATCTGGACTTCAAGCATTTTGTTTAGATGGGACCCTTCTCACCCAGACTTTGGCCAATGAGCAGACAGTTCCTTCTGCTGAGAGCATGCAAGTTCTGCAGAAGATTTCCGTCGGGTTCCCCTGGACTCCCAATCTTAGTTCACTTCTGGGTGTCCAGTTTCTTCCAGTGGAAATCTCAGGAAGTAAAGGAAATCCGAGAAAAAAGAGGGAAAAACTCCCTTTGTCTCTTGATGGGAAACCTCACATACTGCCAAGTATTTTAAACCAAGATTTGACCTGGAAACAAACTAAGAATACAAAAAGTTGATTTTTAGACTCTTTTGCTCTTTGACCTCCCTCTTTCAATCCACCCCTGTCACCCAGGGTCACTTGTCCTCTGCTCCCCACCCTTCCCTGACAGTGGACCAGATGCTTTTCAACCTGGACTTCTACTAGCCCTCCATGACACTCTTGCATTTCATAGATCACTATCATAATGCCTAGAAATAAAAGAGAATGTTTCCTTAAAAAGTGTTTTTGGCCATTATTTTTAAAGGTTTCCTAAAAATACTGCCTTAGCCCAAAGAGTAGTTTAAATTCAAAAATTTTAGTTGTAGTGTTGGAGGTATTTTGAATTTGAGGGACCTTTTGAATTCTTTTCTTATGACACATATTGATAATATAATAATAATATCAGTTCTAGGAAATGATGTTAAGGAAATTATCAGATGTGTGGACCAAAATTTGTTTGTAAAGACGTTTTCACAGGGCTATTTTTAGAGAGGGCCCTTGATTTTTGCAAAGTATGTAACCCAAGATCTTTGCAAATCTCCAAATTTACAAACCCCATGAAAGCTTTAATGTCACTCATAAAATGCAGGAAAGTAACTGAAATATTTAAGTAACCCCTTTAGACCCTTAATTTATATGCCATAATAATTTATGATGCATTCATGATGTCATTCAAATATATTTTTACTAACGCACTCCCAGAATGTTTCAGAATAACTTTTTCCTGCTCTCATACACATTGGTCTTGTTTATATCCCAAATCTTGGCCTGGGGAAATTTTGACGCTCCACTCTGATTTATCTAAATCTTTTATTTTCTGGCTCAGAACTATTATTTTTATTATACCTCTTTAATTTTTCTTCACTCCCGTCATAGCCCTAAAAGTGAGCTCTTTTTTTGGAGGTAAACATTTTATACAAAGACACAGTTTTGTTTTGTTATTACTGTTTATTAAGGGCACTGCTTATGGGGTGATGTCCGGAACATAAGCGCAGCGAGTGTGAGATTTAAATTCCAGGTGGTTGGTTAGGTTCATTCACCAGCTCAGGGACTCCTCCCCCATGCCGCTGCGCAGCATCCCACATTTAGACCTGTGCCCCAGAAAACCAACAAGTAACTGTTGGTCAAGTGTTGTTTTTGGTCCCAGTAGTGACAAGAGAGATTTAGGTTCAAAAATCTGCTATGCTGCCTTTTCAGTTTTAGTTTAGTCATGTTACTTTGGACCCAGTTCTTCAGTTCACTCATCCATAAAACAGGAAAGAAAATCTTCATCTGGCAAGTTTTTTTTTTTTTAAAGATTAGTGATAATGCAAGTGCCTGGCACAGGATTGATCCAAATAACTCTTATTACAATGTAAGAATTCTAGTCCTGGCAAATAGTATTAAACCTTCAAGTGTTAAACAAAACTTAGGAAAAAAATCATAAAGACCTCCAGATAGGGTAAATCTAAAATAAATTTTGCTATATGGGCTATCATACAATCATTCAAAATTGATTGCACAAAGAACTTTTAATGACAGCAGAAATTCTTATACTCTAAGCGATTAAAAAACAGCAGGAAGTAGAAATTTATGAATAGTATGATGAATATATGTATACACTCATGTACACAAATACACACACATACAATTAACCCAAAAATAACTCTACAAATATTGGTTATCTCTGGGTGGTGGGACTATTAATAGTTTTCATTTTCTACTGTAAATATCTTGTATTTTATAATATATTTATAATAATCACATATTGGCTTTATACTAGGAAAAATTATCCTCAAATATCTGGCACATAGGTGGCTATGTTCTCTACCTGCAGAAGGCACTGTCATTGTTTAAAGTTTACATGCTCATCTGATTTTCATATTACACAGATGTGTCTGACCTCAACCAAGATGCACAAAGATATTCTCACTGAACTCGAGCATTGATGAGCTCTGGTCTGTATAGGGTATTCTTTTGTATTCCCCAACAGTGGAGATAAAGTAGAAGATAAAATTTGCCTCTTAAAAACATTATAGATGGTGTAATGACAGACTAAAAAAATTTTTAGAAAAACGTGATTACAAGTTTTGTATTTTGTTTACATGCATATTGTGTATTAGTTCTATCTGGGACAAATGTATTTCTCTGTGTAGATCGCCCTGTTGAGGGTTGCAATTAGAAAACACTCCTGAAGCCTGTGTTTGAACTCATGGTGCCATCCAGCAGTGGTGCTTTATAAATAAGTATATTCCTTGAGACTAAATGTCTAAATCTAGTTTAAATTTAATTTGTTTTTAATTCTCAATTTTTGTTTGGCAGGTGAAGCCCTTGATGACATGGGTGAGAAGACAGACATAATTAAGGTGTGGAGGTGATAAAATTTCATTCTTACTTTAATTTCAAATTGTGCATGCATTTTAAAAATGATGAGTTCCTGGAGGTCCGATTTCCACTATGACCAGATGAGATACATAATATTTAAAACACTAGATTCATATAGTTCAAAATTCCTGTTCATTCAGGACCCCCAACCACAGAGTTCCTACAGTTTTTTATCCTTTTAGAGACACTTATGTATATGCTAGCAAATGTATTTCTCCATTTTTTTTGGTAGCATATACTTGTATATACTGTTATTCAACTTTCTTTTTCAACAATGTATCTTGTTGATTTTCTAGATGAGTAAAAAAAGTGTTCTCTTATTTTTTATAATGAACAAGTAGCACTTTGTTATATTAATATTCCATAATTTATGTAAGGAGACACTATTGGACTTTCAAGATATTTCTTATTTTGCTAGTAAAGAAAATGCAGCAAAAATAAATGTATACCTGTGCTATTTCAAACTGATCCTATACTCTCTAACAAGTTCCTTTTTTAGAAATACATTCTTAAATCAAAAGGTATGTGCATTTGCAATTTGAGAAATATTGCCAAGTTACCATCTTTAGAATTTATACCATTTTTCCTGCCCACAAACACCCTCACCAACACAATGTTTCATCAGAGTTTTTGATCATTGGCAAACTATTTGAAAAACATTATATCAAAATCATTCTAATTTTAATTTCTCTTATTATGAGTGAGGTTGACATACTGCCTCTGTTTTCTTCTAGGAGTTCTATGGTTTCACAACTTACAGTTAAGTCTTTTATCCATTTTGAGTTTGTTCTTGTGTGTGGTGTAAATTGGTGGTCTAGTTTCATTTTTTTCCCATGTACTTGTCCAATTTTCCCAACACCATTTTTTGAAGAGGCTGTCTTTATTTCATTGTATGCTCTTGCCTCCTTTGTCAAATATTAAATGACCATAAAGGTGTGGGTTTACTTTTGGGCTCTCTGTTCTGTTCTACTGATCAATATGCTTGTTCTTATGCCAGCACTAAGCTGTTCTGATTACAATGACCTTGTAGTATAATATGATAACAGGTATTGTGATCCCTCCAACTTTGTTCTTCTTTCTCATCAATGATCTTTTGTATTGTTTGGTGTTTTTTTAGACTCTCATTTATTTCTGCTCTGATCTTTATTATTTCCTTTCTTCTACTTACTTTGGGCTTTATTTGTTGTTCTTTTTCTAGTTCCTTTAAGTGTAAAGTTAGACTGTTTGAGATTTTTCTTATTTCTTGATGTAGGCCTGTAATGCTATAAATTTCCCTCTTAAGGCTGCTTTTGATGTGTCCTATAGGTTTTGGGTTGTTTGCTCTCATTTTCATTTGTTTCAAGTTATCTTTTGATTTTTTCCTTAATCTTGTTAACCCATTCATTGTTTAGTAACATGTTACATAGCTTCTATGTTTTTGTGTGTTTTTCAGTTTTTTTCTTGTGATTGATTTCTAGTTTCCTATTATTATGGTCAGAGAAGATGCTTGATATGATTTCAATCTTCTCAAATTTAATGAGACTTCTTTTGTGTACTAACATGGTCTATCTTAGAAAATGTTCCATGTGCACATGAAAAAAATATATATTGTGCTGCTTGGGGGTGAAATGCTCTCCACCTGCTTAAGTGTGTCAGTTAAGGCAGCTCTTTCTTTATTGATTTTCTCTCTGGAAGATCTATCCATTGATGGCAATGGGGTGTTAAAATCCTCTGCTATGGCTGTATTATTGTCAATTTCTCCATTTATGTCCATCAAGTTTTGCTTTACTATGTTGGTTGCATAAATATTTACAAGGGTTTTTTGCTCTTGTTAGATTGATCCTTTTATCATTATGTAATATCTTCCTTTGTCTCTCATTATAGCCTTTGTTTTAAAGTGTTTTTGTCAGATATAAGTATTACTACCCCAGCTTTTCTTTTTCATTTTCATTTATATAACATATCTTTTTCACCCCTTTACTTTAAATCTGTGTTATCTTTTGTCCTGATGTGGGTCTTTTGTAGACAACATACATATGGACTTTGATTTTTTTATCCATTTAGCTATCCTATGTCTTGTATTTGGAGCATTTAAGCAATTTACATTTAAAGTGACTATTGATAGGTATGTATATATTGCCATTTTATTGTTTATAACTATGATTCTCTGTTTCCTTTTTCTTTTCTTCTTAGAGAAGACTCGTTAACATTTCTAATAATACTGGTTTGGTGGTAATGGAATCCTTTAACTTTGTCTTGTCTGGGACGTTCTTTATTTCTCCTTCAATTTTAAATGATAGCCTTGTTGGTTAAGGTTGTCTTGGTTACAGGTCCTTGCTTTTCATCACTTTGAATATTTTATGCCAATCCTTTCTTGCCTGAAATGTTTCTGTTGAGAATGACCTGTAAGTCTAACGGGAGCTCCCTTGGACATAATTAGCTGCATTTTTTGGCTGCTCTAAAGATTCTCTGACTTTAACCTTTGCCACTTCTTTATGATATGTCTAGGTGTGGGCCTCTGTTAGTTCACTTCACTTCCTGGACTTGTGTGTTTCCTTCATTAGATTAGGGAAGTTTTCAGTCATATTTTTCAAATAAATTCTCCATTTCTTGTCCTTTCTCTTCTCCATCTGGTATCCTTATGATGTGGATGTTGTTATGCTTCATGTTGTCCCAAAGATCCCTTAAACTATTCATTTTTTAAAATTCTTTTTTCATTTTGCTGCTCCGACTGGATGTTTTCTGCTATCTTGTCTTTCAAATTGTTGATTTGATCTTCTGCTGCATCTAACTTACTGTTTATTCCTTATAGTGTATTATTCATTTCAGACACTGTATTATTTCTGCCTGGTTCTTTTTTATAATTACTATGTTCTTTATTACGCTGTTGTAGTTCTCACTAAGTTTTTGTAGTTATCACTAAGTTCCTTGAGCATCCTTACAACTATTTTTTGGAACTTATATCTGTTAAATTGCTTGCCTCTATTTCATTTAGCTTTTTTTTTTTCTGTAGATTTTTTTGTTCTTTTATTTGGGGCATGTTTCTTTGTCTCCCCATTTTGGCTTCCTCTTTTTGTTTATTTCTATGTGTTAAGTAGATCTGCCATAGTCCCCAGACTTGGCAGGGTGGCCTTATGTAGTAGGTGTCCTGTGAGATTCAGTGGCACTATCTCCTTGATGACCTGACCTGCGTGCTCCAGGAATCTCCCTTGTTTGGGTTATGTGAGCCCTCTTGTTATAATTGACTCTTGATTGCTATTGGCCTGTTTGTGCATGATTTTGACCCTCAGTCTGACAGAGGGTCGCTCAATCACAGTGTACAAGCTTCTGTGTAGGTGCTGACCACACTAAGCAGAATTTGCCTCAGCAGAGTCTGGCACCTGTCAAAATCTCTCTGGAGATAATACTACTTAAGAAGTTAACTTGACCCTGCTCTGTTGTCTGAAGCTGGCCACTGGGTGTGTTGGTCCTGGGGCCTTTTGGGAGGGGCTCTGGGGCAGCTAAATATCAGACACTGCCTATGACTGGCCTTAGGCAACCTGTTCAGAGCTACACAATGATCCACAGTTTGTGGCTGCTCTGCTGGGCCTGGGTGTGCGTGAGAAGGACCAAGCTGTGCACCAATGCTAGATTTCACCAGCATCAAGTCCAGGGGCAGGTCAGCATAAGGCCCAAGGCACCTTGAGATCCACTTCTTCCTGCCTCTGCCTGTTGGCTGCATGTTAAGCTCAGTCACTGAAAGAACCTCTGGAAGTACTCAAGTTGCATGCAGGAGGTTCTCAGTGGGTCACCAGGTAGGAGCAAGTTGTGTTCACCAGACTGATACAAGTTCAATCTCGGTGCCAGTGCTGGGTCTGAGGCTAGTCAGCAAAAATCCTGGGATATACCATGTTTAACTATCAGCAGCCATTTGCTTTCAGATCTTGGTGGTATGACAGTGTCTCAGGAAACTGTTAAGATGAGACCAGCAGAGTTTTTCAGGTCCAAACAGACGAAGATTTGGTCATCTGAAGGGCGGGCTCTGTACCCGTGGGGCATACAATGGAAAAATGCATCCCTCCCTGCCCTGAGAGCCACACAACTCAGTGTATCCCAGATTCCTCCAGGAGCCTGAGTTCAGCAGTGGGGAGCTATCAGAAGTCAAGAGGGTAGGAATGGTGAACTCCCGGGAAGGGGAGTGCTGGTCATTCTTGGGGGAAGGAGAGAGGTGTGGGCCCTGTCCCAGAGCCACGCAATTCAGTCACTGACACCCCCTGAGTCTGCCTGGGCCTCTAATCTCCTGTTCAGGCATGTGACTCTTTAGCAGGTTGTGAGCTTCAGGGGGTGGGACAACAGGGAGTCCAGAGGCTGGGGCTACTGCATTCCCCCAGGCTGATGTAAAAGAAAGGAGTGCTCTGCCCAAGAAAGATGGCATTTGCGGTGTGGGAGAGGGACTCATCCTGGGTCCTAGCAGCTCTTTCTTCAGAACTCTCTCCAGTGCCATAAACGCCTGTCTCTTTTCTCATGACTAGTCCGCTCTGCTCTCCCTCCCCCAGAGCCCCGGGTGAGTGACTTCGAATGATATTTTGTGCATTGCCCCTTTAAAAGGGCCCCTGTAATCTAGCAGACTCTTGTTTCTCCCTGGTGGACAGGATACCCACTGATTTTCCCAGTCAGTGGTTATGTGAGTGCCTTCTCCTGGCTCTAGTGCTCTGGGCTAGGAACTCTGGGGTGGGGTTAAGACCCCACGCTCCTCAAGGAGAACCTTTGCAGCTGAGATATCCCTTTGGGATCTTAACTGCCACTCATGGGAGTGGGTCCAGTTCTTTTCACATCTCTGCCTTTCCTACCAGTTTTGTTGTGGTGTCTTCTGTAAATCCTTGGTTTTAAAACTTCTGTTTAGCTAGTCTTTGATTGGTCATTCAGGTTGATTGTCCTGTAGATTAGTTATAATTCTAGTTTTGTCCTGGAAGGAGGTGAGTGTAGCTTTCAGCTACTCCACCACAATTTTGGATCTTATACTACATATTCTTTATTCATTCATCTGCCGATGGACATTTACGTCATTTCTACTTATTGGCTACTGTGAGTATTGCTGCAATGAACATGTGAGTGGAGAGGTCCTATTTTTAATTCTGTTATTATATTATGCAATATTTCCAGGGAGACCTGAGAAAATATTCTATAGTAAAACAGTATTTTTGCTTCAGAAACTATTATGTCACACTAAATAGGCTAAAACAGTTTATAATTAGACACTTGTCATTTCAGGTCAGATTTTACTGCCAAAATGAGTTGAAGTCAGGTGAGGCTTTACTATTGAGTAAGTTTAGGAAAAACCCTGAATTTTCAGGGCTTCTTTGTATTTTGGAGTTGCAATAAACATTTGAAGATCTTTACAGCCATTGGATATTTTTTCCCCATATGCTTTTGGAAGATTCACTGTTTACTGCATGGCTCTGAAAGGAAAAGATAACATTTAACAGTAATGAGGAAACATAATGCCATTTTAGTGCCAAACATTTGAGGCTGAAAAATCATATACACACTAAAAATGCTTAGAGGAAATGTTTTTGTATTTAAAAAGATTATTGTTGAAATAAGGTTTCTAGTTTAGTTGTTGTTGTTGTTGTTGTTCTCCTACAGAAAAAAAAGCTGGTGGATTTCTTAGTCAACCCCCAAGGAGATAAAACAGTTCAGTTCTCTGACCACTGTCTGATGGAATCCATTAAACTGGGTGACCCCAAAGTGCATGAATTTCTGCGGTTACTTGCTCTCTGCCACACTGTAATGCCAGAGGAAAACAGTGCAGGTAAGTGAATGAAAGTACGTCTGAGTGGTAAGCCTTGGTTTTTAAATCACAACTGATACTTTTATTTAACATTTTTGGAATTGGAAGGATTTTCTAATTAAAAAAATACAGCTTTGTGTAGGGGGCTTAGCTATCATGCTAGCTTTTTTTCCTTTGTATTTAGTTATATCCCAAATGTTTTCCGCTTATCTCTCATTATTAACACATGCATATAATATATGCAGATGACCATTAGGTGTATGGTTAGAATGAATTTTCCCAGTAAGATGGTCGTTTAGAGCTCAGAGTTCTATTCTAGAACAAAGTCAGCTGGGCCACTCTAAAATTGAAGAAATGAGGTGGTAGATAATGGTGTTAATGAATTAGCTTCTTCTTTCATTCAAGCCCAATTTATTTCATTTGCAAGTTATTTTTTTCTTTCTACTACCAACTATTGACTAAAAAGACTACCCAAGTAATTTTATTCAAAAGTGAAATATATATAGACTGTAGACTATATATGTATGTATGTAGTCATATGTATATATGTGTGATAGATACATGAGTATGTGTATATATGCATACATATACTGGCATCTTATATGTATAATACATATTTTTTCTTTATTGGAACTATAGTAAACCACAGTTTTGACCTTGATATGCTGGATTAACCCATTCCTCACATTTTTATTGCTGTGAGGATTTACATAATTATGTTTATGACTTAAATTTATCTTTGTAATACTAATGCCAATAAAAATTTATTATATTTCATCTGAGGATATCACAATACCTTCTTTTATGTCTTAGAGTTTATTTAATTTCCCAAGCTCTTTTCTTTTAATTGCAATCTGTTTTTAATGTTATGATATTTTTCTTAGATTTCTTTGAAGATATTAATTGCACTTAATTTGAAATATTCTTTGTTTTCTCTACTATGTTTCATTTTATGAAATGTTATTATTTGAGTCTTGTGCCTAGCTTTTATGTTGTTCTCAAATGTTTGGTGATTTGTGGTTGCCTGTTTTTATTTGTGTTTGAGAATCCCTGTTTGCCTTTTGGTTAATGTAGGTTATGATTACAGTGGCCCAAGATTGTTGCCAAGATTGTTGGGGAGAGGCAAAATACATACTTGTCATGTAGGTGAGGGATTCCTATCTCCTGGAATTCATGTGCTGCCTGGGGTTAACTTTCTTTTTTCAGATCTAGTGATGGGAGTCTGTGCCAGAACTCCCATTTGAGAGAGATTTGTACTTAAGATCTGGCCTTAAAGAAGACATCAGATGCATTGAGTTCCTTTTCCTCATTTTCTTTGTCTTATCCTTGTGGCATTCTGAAGCTACTTCAGGCTCTTCTCAGCTGGGTCTCTAGACCCAACAAATCTTCAAGGTTTCCTTAGGTGGATGGTACACTTTGTGTTGAAGAACATTTTCAACATTTTATTTTAGGACTGAATGTCACTGCAGCCTGTTGTTTACAATAAGCTGGCAGGAGGCAGAGCCCAAATGGTCCAGGAGTGCTGAGTGGAATTCAATTAATTTTACCAATGCTCCCCTGAAGACCGTGTCTGCTTTCCTCCTTTTTTGACTCTGTGTTTGGAGAATCTTTGAGTGTTGCTTTTGTTTTGAGCCATGCGTTCTCCTATGTCTTCATTGATGAAATCTACTTTTTATCTTTCAGACATTTCTCAAATTTCTAGTTTAATGATAATATTCATTCTCTTCTGTATCATTTAATTTTTTTCATAATGTGATATAATTAAATGCAATAAAACAGAAAGATCTTAAGTGTATTTAATGAGTTTTGACAATTATATATGCCCTTATAATCCCTCCGATCAAGATGCAAATTTTTTTCCATCGCTCCAGAAAGATAACTCATGGTTCATTCCAGTCTACACCACCAACCCCTGTCCAACCAACCACTGCCCTGCCCCAATTTCTGTCATCAAAGATGAGTTTTCCCTCTTGTACTTCATATAAATTGAATGATCTAATATGTATTCCTTTGTGTCTGGCTTATTTCACACAGTGTAATTTTTTTGTTATCCATGTTGTCATGTCAATCAATAATAGTTCATTTTTTATTGCTGATTAATTTTGCATTGTTTGAATATACCACATTGTTTTTCTTTCTGTTTCTCTGTTCGTGCACATTTGGGTTGTTTCCAACTTTGGATTATTATGAGTAAAGCTGACATAAACATTTTTATATCTTTTAAAAATATTTAACAAATGTGTTTTTGGTAAATACTTAATGGAAATTGCCACATCATAGTGTAGGTATGTTTAATTTTGTAAGAAACTGCCCAACTATTTTAAAAAAAATGGTCTTATCATTTTACACTCCTACCATTGATGCATGAGTATGCCAGTTCCTTTATATTTTTGGAAACATTTTACATTATCATTCTTAAATTTTATCCATTCTAGTGGGTATCAGCTAATATCTCTTCTGCCATATAAAGATATTTTAAGTGCAGAGAGGTAAATATGTGTATTCTTAAACTATTTCTGTCTCTTGCTTTGAGATATCAAATTCTAAAGTGAAGGATTTTATCACTGAGAAGGGGAAAATTACATTTGCTCTTCTTTTAAAGCTTTATATATTGGATAGATAACTTAAGTGAATGTATGTTAAAGTACATTGAAAAATGTAATTTTTTCTTATATAAATGTTAGTTATACAAAAGAAAGAACTGAGCCTAAATCAAACTTAAAACTTTAATTATTGTATAATTTATAGTTGAGGGTGTTGTTTTTATTTCATTTTTTAATTTAAATTTAATTTTTAAAAAAATTTATAAACCATGTTTATTCTATTACAGTTGTCTCAATTTTTACCCATTTACCCCCCTCCACCCATCCCATCCCCACCCCCCACTCCCACCGTCAATTCCCACTCTGTTGTCCATGTTCATGGGTCATTCATACATGTTCTTTGTCTAGTCCTTTTCCCATCTTTCCACCATTGTCTTCTTTCCTCATCTCCTCTGGTCACTTTCTGTCTGCTCCATGTTTCCATGCTTGTGGTTTATTTTGTTCTTTAGTTTATTTTAGATCACATGGTATTTGTCTTTCACCAACTGGCTAATTTCATTTAGCTTAATATTCTCCAGTTCCATCCATGTTGTTGCAAAAGGTAGGAGTTCCATCTCTCTCTCTTTCTTCCTTTCTTAAATGCAGATTGATTTTATTTTTTTAATGTCAAAGTTAGTTATAAAATATTAAAAAAATTTAAAACCATTATAAAGTCTCAGCAATCAAACCAACATGACACCAGCACAGAAATAATCAAGTAGATGAATGAAATATAATGAGCATTCTAGAGACAAATGTATATATCTGTATAACAATATAATATATGATTAAGTTGATATTTCAAATCAATGGGTAAAATAAGGCTTACTCAACAAATAAGGTGCATGGACCACTATTATTTGAAATAAAACAAATAGAGAACCCTATTTCACACATTATACAAGCAATATTCAGGTGAGTTAAAAATCAATATGTAGAATCTAAGGAGTTTTAGAAGAAAATAGAACTCATATTTTTCATGACCTGAAGTAAAATATTCAAACCCAGAAGCTATAAAGTAAAATATTGACAATATGACTATATTAAACATTTAACTATATAGTAATATACATATAAAAAAAGTTAAAGGACAAGGAATAGTATAAAAAAAGTATTTGCAACACATCTAGAACATGATTAATAGGGTTTTTTTTTTTTTTAGGGAAAAATGTTCTACAAATCTTTAATCAATAAATGGATAAAGAATACCAAAATGTCATTTAAAGTTTTTTTTTAAATAATAGAAATAGGCAAGAAATATACTAAAACAGGTTTAGTTTCAACAAATAGTAAAGGAACAATTAAAATAACATCGTCACAATCAGATTAATGAGTATTAAAAATATTGGTAATATCAAGTATTGGCAACTCTGAAAGGAACTGGGTATTCATAGAAACTTTTTCTTCATCTTAAAGCAGTCCCTTTAGCATATTTTGCAGGGCTGGTTTGGTGGGGGTGTATTCTTTTAGCTTTCTTTTGTCTGGGAAACTCCTTATTTTGCCTTCCATTTTAACTGAGAGCCTTGCTGGGTAGAGCAGTCTTGGTTGCAGGCCTTTGCTTTTCATGACTTGGAATATTTCTTGCCATTCCCTTCTGGCTTGCAGAGTTTCTGTTGAGAAGTTAGCTTCTTGCCATATTGGGGCTTCCTTATATGTTACTACCTCTTTCTCCCTTGCTTGCTTTAGGTTTCTCTGTTTGTCTTTGATATTTGCCATTTTAATGATGATGTGTCTTGGAGTGGGCCTCATTGGGTTCCTCTTGAATGGGACCCTCTGTGCTTCATGGACGTGTGTGACTTTTTCTCTCCTCCAATTAGGAAAGTTTTCCATCATGACTTTTTCAAACAGGTTCTCTATCCCTTTCTCATCCTCTTCTCCTTCTGGTATCCCTATTATACAGATATTAGTACGTTTCAGGTTGTCCTGCATTTCCCTAAATGCCTCTTCATTCTTTTTGAGTCTTTTTTCATTTTCTTGCTCTTTCTGGGAGCTTTTTTCTACCTTGTCCTCCAGCTCATTGACTCGGTCCTCAGCTTCATCTAGCCTGCTTTTGAATCCTTCTGTGTTCTTCAATTCAGAAATTGTATTCTTCATTTCTTCTTGTCTCTTATTGATACTTTCTATGTCCTTTTTCATGCTGATATAGTTTGCAGTAAGTTCCTCATAGTTTCCCTGTAGTTTTTTTGTAATTCTCTCTGAGCTCACTGAGCTTGTTGAGCTTCCTTAGAACCATTGTTTGGAACTCAATATCTGATAGTCTACTTGCCTCTATTTAATTTAGTTCTCTTTCTGGGGATTCCTCCTTTCCCCTCAAGTGAGGGGTATTTCTTTGTCTTCACATTATTTGTGAGACTCTTCTCTTTTGCTTCTGCTTCTTAAGTTGATCTGTCTTGATTTGCTGACTTTGTGGTGTGAACATCTATGGTTGGAGACTGCTGTTTTTACTTTCTCTTATTTCATTTATTTTTAAGTATATTAATTATGCAATCTTATATTGGTTATATTAGTTTCAGGTGTAAAATATAGTGATTCAACATTTTTATACCTCACAGTGTGATTACCCCACTAATACTAGTAATCATCTGTCACCATGTAAGCTTACTACAATGTTATCGACTGTAGTCCCCTTCCCCTTTTCATCTATTACCCCCACCCCTCCTTCTGGCAAACATCCTTTTTGTCTCTGTTTTCTATGAGTCTGTTTGTATTTTCTTTTATTTGTTTGCTTGCTTGTTTTTAGATTCCACATATAAGTGAAGCCATATGGTATTTGTCTTTCTCTGACTGGCTTATTTCATTTAACATAATATCCTATAGATCCAGTCATGTTGTTGCAAATGGAAAGATTTTGTTCTTTTTTTAATGCTGCATAATATTTCTGTGTGTGTGTGTGTGTGTGTGTGTGTGTGTGTGTGTGTGTGTACCACATTTTCTTTATCCATCTATCAATGCCTTTTATTGTGTGTGCTATTTGTTTCATGGAAAAATAACTTGGAGAGTTGATATTCTCATTCCCTTTGTCAGGACTAAATTTCAGAAGCAGAAATGTGGAAAATACAAGTGCTTCAGTAGGGCTTTTATTTTTCTATTTTAGTGAATGGCAATTAAAGAGATAAAAAATTCATAATTTTTTTCTTACCAATCATCTTGTTATATCAATTCTTTAAAATTTGCTGAGGCTTGGTTACTGGCCTGGTATGTATTCAGATTCCATAAGTGTTTCATATGTGTTTGAAATGAATGTACATTCTACAGTTATTGGATATTGGATTCTAAGTATATTCATTAGATAATGTTTATTAATTGTACTTTTCAATATTCTACCTCTTTGTATTATTTTGACTATTTGATTACTCAATGAATGAGAATATGCTAAAATCAACTATAATGGTAGATTGGTATATTTCTATTTGAAGTTTTGACTATATGTTTTAAGTTTGTTATTAGATATTAGACTATGTTCTTTAAAACTTCTATCAATATACATATATAGATCTTCTCTATCTCTAGTAATATTTCTGCCTTAAAGTTTATTTTGTTTGGTATTAATATCATTATAGATATTTCCTTTTTGTTAATATTTATATTATTTAGCTTTACCAACTCTTTTCTGCTAATCTTTTTCTTTATGTTTTATACATATCTCTTGTGACATCATTTTAATATGAACCAGCATGTCTGCCATTTAAAAATATCTGACAAAACTAAAGGTTAAATGGAACATTTAGTCTATTTGCTGTTATTGATTATTGATATTTTTTAGATTTTTAAGTATTAAATATATAATTGTTATTTTATTTATATTTATTTCTACCATTTAATTTTGTGTTTTTGCCTTGTTTTTGTTTCTTAGTCTGTTCATTTTTTGTCTTACAGATTTAGTCCATTTTTACTTCTGCTGCTTTGGAAATAACACATTCTTATATGTATTTTTAATGGTTAATATAGAGATTTTAACATAATTAACTTATCAAAGCCTAAACCTTCTTTTGAACAAAGACCTTAAAACCCTTCAATAGTGATCAAACTTGTCTGATTTATGTAATATAATATTCTTCTCATGTGTCTCCTTTTTTAATATCACAAGATACTATTTTTGTTTTTTTACAGTCAATGTTTGCTTAGAGTTATTCATGTACTCACTAATTTCCATGTTCTTCAATGCTTGTCCCATCTCTGGTCTTCTGTTAACCTAAAATGTATTCTTCAGAATTTCACTGGTAGCAAACTCTCAAAAACTTTGTTTGAAAACAACTTTATTTCATCCTTTTTTTTGTATGATGTTTTGTTGTGTATAGAAATTTAAGATGACAATTTTCTTTCAGTACTTTAAAGGTATTCAACTGTATTCTGGCTGCTATTTTTCTTACAGTATAGTTAACTGTAAGTCTAATTGTGGCTTGAAGGTAATTGATCTTTTCTTCCTGGCCACTTTTAAGATTCTTCATTTTTCATTTTCTTAGTATATGTGTGAAATTTCAAAAAATATGTATTGCTTGGGATTAATTCAGATTCTTGAATCTATAGAATGTCATCGTTTATCACTTCTGCAGTTTCCTCAGGAATATTTCTTCATATATTGCCTGTGACTAAGTTTTCCTCTCATATCTTCAATGTTAGATGTCTTCATACTACTCTGTCTTTTAATAAGTCTCTCATTTTTCCATTTATTTATCTCTCTGGAATATATTCTGGAACTTAATTTTTTCAGTACACTAATTATTTTTCTAGTTGTATCTAATCTGCAGTTTTTGATTTTTAATTTCTACAGAATCTTTAATTCTTTTTCAAATCTGCTTAATTTCATGTCTCTCTTTTATTTTTGGAAATCTATTAAATATTTGTATGTGCTATTTCTGATAATTTCAATATAGGGGTAGCCAATGGTAATATTTGGTGTGAATCATTTTACCCTTTCCAGTTGCAGATATGTAGGTGGTTTATTTGCTTTTAATGAAAAGGAATCACAGTATGTACATTAATAAGCAACTTGTTTTCTTAACAATTTATCATGACCATCACTATAAAACAGTAAATATGGATCTAGCACTGTCTACTTTTTTAAATTTATTTTTACACACAAACATAACATACTAATTTTATATAGATGGGCTTTATACATACTTTTTTTTACGTGTATTTTTATGTTTTTTTTCTTCATTCTTTTTCTCTCTTCTCTTAGCCTCACCCCAAACACATACACAGTATCAAGTGTCAAGGATTAACATCAGGTTTGATTCTTTTAATTCCAGGAGATTTCTTACACATCTTCTTATAGAAAGGTTTTTAGGGTCACACTGAAGTGGAATTTGGAATATCTGCCCCATTTTTCTTTGACCATGTAACTTTGCAAAAATCATAACCTCTTCAGTCATAAGTTTCACCAGTATAAATGAAAATAATAATTTTAATAATCCCTATCTCAAAGACTTGCCATGAGAATTGTATGAGTTAATATACATTAAATGTTTTAGCTTATAAAACTTTGATGGCACAGCTGTTACTGAAAATACAAAGGTATGGTCTCTGACCTAAGAAACTTCCAGCATAATGGAAAGGCAGACTATGTAACAAGTATTTTTTTTATAAGATGGCAAGGACTACACAGTTGGTATGCATATCCCAAAGGATAAGCACCTGGTCCAGCTGGTTGGTGAGTGGAAACTGTCTGATTTCTAGAGCTGTCATTGGAATTGAATGTTGAAGAATGAGTTGGAGTTGGTATTGGCATTCTATAAATGTTAGCTATTATTTTTAGTATTAATATATTTGTTTCTTTTCCTTTTTAAAAACACACTTTCTTGGTTGATCTTTAAGCCACTTATTTCTTTCCCTTTTAGGACAGCTCATTTATCAAGTTCAGTCACCTGATGAAGGAGCCCTAGTGACTGCCGCAAGAAATTTGGGGTTCATTTTTAAGTCTCGGACCCCAGAGACAATAACAATAGAAGAATTGGGAACCCTAGTTACTTATCAATTGATTGCCTTTTTGGATTTCAACAATATCAGAAAAAGGATGTCTGTCATAGGTATGATTGTTAGCTGAGATTATTTTTAATCTTTGATAGTGTAATACTATCATTATATTGATGCTTCTCAAGGATGATTTTACTCTTGGTTATGGGCTGAGAATTGTGATATTTTTGTAACTTTATGAACTTCTGTCATCCTTAGCTTAGCCTCAGTCTCAACATTGTAGTAATAAGAATAACTAACTTTGAACAAATACTTATGTGTCCAGCACTGTTCAAAATGCTCTACATGAACTAACTGATTTAAGTGTCACAAAAACTATACTGTGTTTTAATGACCATTTTGAAGGTAATAAACCTGAAACACAGAGAAATTGAGTAACTTGACCAACGTCACATAGCATGAACTGGAATAGCTGAAATTCAAATCCAGGAGGTCTGACTGCCAAGCCCATTCCTTTCATCACTATACAACACTGGCTCAGGATGAGTTCCTGAATTACTTGGCACATGCTAGCTGTCAGCATTGTTGTTTTGTGAACATCATCATCGGCCTCCTCATTATCATTCATTTACTGTTTACCTGCATTGCTGGAGATGATCTCCTGAGACTGTATCAGCATCACAACAAATAATACTTTTTTAACTCTGCACTAACCCTTAGTGCAGCTACAATATCCTTCTCACCTTCACTTTGCTCCTGTTTCCAGTCCTCATAACAGATGTTCTAAGCTTTTATCCTCTCCTCAAGTCCTCAACTCCGCCATGATCTCCTTCATTCTTGGAAACTAAATTCATCTTCTATTTCTCTAAAAAAGTCGAGGCCTTCAGAAATGTGCACTATCACTTTACACTTTCCCCCATCCGCCTCCTTTATCCCCAGACTCTAAGTTTACTCATTCTTTTTTTCTGCTCTTGTTTCTTTTCAAAGCTGAAGGTTCTACCTGGTCTCCTTCCTTCCTTGTGTCTTTGATTTCTTCTTTATCACTGACTTCTTCTTTCAGTCCACAGCTCTATTATTATCCCATTTCCTTAAAGACATTTTTTTGTGTTCTGACCTCCAAGATTTTGCCACTGCATTTTCTTCTTTCCATCAGAACTTTATTTTTATGGTCAGTTTTTGCTCCTCACCTTTATTTCTCTTTTCAGCCTATTAGAGTGAGGCTTCTGCTTTTACTACTCAAGAAGAGTGCTCTCTCAGAAGTTTCCAATAACTTCAAAAATTCCCCAACTTTATCGTCTATCTACCTATCTATGTATCTGTCTATCACCTATTTCTCTATCCATCCATCCATCTATTTATCAATCTGATCATCTATGTCTCTATCTACCTACTTACCTAGCTACCTGTCTATCTTTTTAAACTTTATAATGTTGAGACTGTTAACCTCGTAACACTCCTCTTTTGCCTTCTGCGACCTCACTGGCACCTGGTCCTCCTCTTCTCTTTCCTTTCTTCAGCTCCTTTGCTGACTACTCTCTATCCTACTCTTCAGTGCTGGTGTCCTTTTCTCTCCCTACTTCCTGTTCCCCTCTTGGATAATCTTGACCACTCACATGGTTATAGCTATTGCCTATGTCCTGTGTCCTTCCTGTACAGTTCTTCAGCTTTAATCTCTATCTGAGGTCCACAAATATTTTCTGTCTTCTCCTGGATTCTGCCACTGGGTTGTACTATGATTACCTCAAATTCTATATGTCTAATATAAAACTTTCTTTCACAAGTATTGCTCTTTCTGTAGCCCTTTGTTATTTGTTAAAATTAACAATCGCTTTTTACTGTGTGCCTGTCAGTAAACTGAACACTTTAGTATAAAGTATGTTATAAAATTCTTGCAATAATATGTTACTCCATTTAGAAGATGAGAAAATTAAGCTCAAAGATTTTGAGCAACTTATAAAGGATTTTCACACATCTGTCACATGACTCATCACACAACTGGTAAGATGCAGAGCAAGTATTTGAACTCAGATCCATCTTTCTCCAAAGCTGGGCCTCTTAACCCTTATTGTAGCTCACTTACTTTGGACACCTTAGCTTCTTTATGCCCCTAGGCTAGTGGTTCTCAAGCTTTTGCTCCCATCAGAACCACCAGAAGGGCTTTTTAAAAACACACATTGACAATCCTCAGTCCCACATTTCTGATTCAAGACGTCTGGGTGGGGCCTAAAAATTTACATCTAATAAGCTCCCACATTATCTGATATTGATACTGCTGGTCAGGGGGCCAAAGTTTGGGGATGACTTCCCTGGACTGATAGATCATCAAATACTACTCATTAATTCCCCAGGGCTGTTTGGAGTGTTTCTCAAACCTGTCTCCTTCTTGGCTACTTCCTTCACTCAGGCCTCAGCATCTCTTGCCCTATCTGTGCAATCCTCAGTAGTCACCCTATTTCTAAGGTGTTCCTTCTCAAGGTGTTACAGTAAACTTTCTAAAAATGGCAGCCAAGCCCTTTTTAATTGTAAAAACCTTCTTTTTTCTCTTAATTTTCAGTACCATGGCTTTAGTTAATGCTTTCATCACTGCTTGTCTGCATTACTGCAGTATCTTTGAAACTCTTCCTCCTTGAAATAATCTTCTATGCTGACACCAGGGCCTTCTTACTAAAACTCTCGGCTGATTTTGCCATTGCCTTCTTAAAAAACCTTGATGACTTCCTAAAACTTAAAGGATAAGGTCCTTAGGATGACATTCAAGATTATTTGCAGTTTGACTGTTCTTCCACTTCCCCAAGTATTGTGCTCCAACTCACCAGACCTCACCATTCCTGGCATGCACTGTGCACTTCCACACCCTTTGTGCATGCTACTTCCCCTGCCTAGGACTCTCCTTTTCTTAACTTCTTTATTAAAAAACTCCTGCTCACCTGGTAGTATCTAATTCAAATGTTGCCTGTTCTCTCCATTCTTTCCCCACTCTTCAAATAACTGTATTCTCCTTTGTTCTCCTGAGCCCCTTATTCTTAACCCGAGTGTGATACCAGCCCCATGACTTTCCCAGTTGTTAAGAGTGTGTACTACTGGAAGGCATGTGCTATGCCTTAGTCTTCTTAAGCTGCCCAGGACCAAACACAGGGCTTGGCACACAGTAAGTTTTCTGTAAATGTTTTTCAAATATAATGTAACCCTACACTTTGTGACTTATGAATATCCTGATCCTCATAGTAAATCAATTTCTACTGTGGAAGACATGTGTGTATATGTAATTGTAGGGTTTTGGATCTTTAACTACTGGAAACTAGCCCTGGGAGATTGCTCTCAGCAGGTGAAAACCAAACATCATCTGTGGATGTTTGTTTTTATATTTTGACAACAGGCTATAGGCAGTCATCACTGATGCTGCCGACGAGCACACATGCTGCTCTAAGTGTCAACCTACTGTGGCAGCAGCGGGAGCTATCTTCTATCTACAGCTTCAAGGGAGGCATTATTGGTGTTGGGTTGGCCCAGAGCTGGCTTTGAGGGTGTTGACAAAAACCTGAGATTGCTGTGCAGGGAAACTTTTGGCTTTTCCCCAGCATCAGTCACCATTACAGGCTGTGGAGAAATCACAGTCTAACCACAAACATCAGATGTTTGCCCTAATAGATCCCATATGAAGAAAGGTAATGTTCCACCACAAAATGCATGCAGGCTTGAGGGCTCTATTTTGGTTCTGTTTGGTTTTTAAGCTGGCAGAATTTGAAAGAGGGACTCCATGAGGGTAGAAAAGTCTTTTTGATAACAAGTCAAAAAAAAAACAAAAAAACAAACCAATGCGAATCTCATGATTTTCACATGCTTGGTCTGTGGGGACAACACTTCAGTGTGAAGACTTAGACATCTGCTGTTATACTGCTTTTCCTTCTCTTTCTCCTCCTTCTCCTTTTTCTCCTCCTTCCCTTTTGCCTATTAATTATTGAATCATAGATGTATACCAGTAGTACTCTCATTTTGGAGAACGAGCCCTTATTTAATTTAGAGGTATATAAATAAAAACAGATTTCTACAGAGAATTCTGTACAAGGATGTAGAATCTACTATACTGATAAACATGTAAATCTCACTATATAGTTTTAGAAGCACAAATTCTACTAATTATGTAAATAAAAATAGAGATAAAATTCAAAGATAGTTATTACTAGAGGCAAGTGGCAGGTAAACATTAAGAAGAGTAAGTTATAATAGTTCCTTGAAAAGCCCTTACAAGATCCTTAGGGAGGGGTTGCTCAACTCTAAACTGTTTAACGATTATCAAAGCACACATCTCACTGCCATATGTCAGGCATTTCTCCATATGAATATATGTACAGCCACCCCACTGAGATATGACAAAACAGAATTATTCATTACCCTTCACAGCATTGCTGTTGCATTTACTCTTACAGCATAAACCTGTGACTATTTCTGCCCTTTTTCTTTCCCTTATGTCACAAAGGCATAGCTGCTATTTCCAATGTATTTTACATAATTATGATTCAACTCAATTAAACAAATATTTATTAAGTGCTTACCATGTTCCAGGGACTTGAAACTAAGGAGAAGATGGAATTAAAAAAATGTCCTATGCCGTAGTATCGAGGAGAAGATGGTGAAGCAGGGTAGGAAATAGATTGGAAAGGGCCAGATCTTGAAGATTTCTGTTTATGCCATGTTAAGAAATCTATATCTGAGCTAGGGTTAGAGGGAAGCTATTGCAAGATTCCAAGCAGTAGTAAGAAGATGATTCTCTCTGGGTTACAGAAGAGTCTGGGAGAAGCAGGGCTAGAAAGAGTAAAATCACTTAGGTTAATGTGATAATCTAGGTAAGAGAGCGGGTGACAGAGAGAAATTATGACTTCAATTGGATATATGAATTTTAAGGGAGACGAACTTTGAATGATGGCCAGATTTTTGATTTGGAGACTGAGTGAATGGTGAATCTGATTATTGAGACGGGATGTAGGAGGAATAGCTAGTTATTGAAAGATAATGTGTCCATTAATGGGGCTAATGCTGGGTTAAGAGAAGGCATCTGAGATGGAAAACTTTTATTGAATAAGAAAATTGTAGAACTGAAAAAGACATTAAAAGTTAAGAGTTTTAAAAACATCTCCTTTTCTCATGTAGAAACAGAAACTAAGGGATGATAAGGGATTTGCACAAATCATAATGGGTTTGTGATTTCCCTAGACAAGGGGTTCTCAATGTGTGGTCTGGAGAACCCTAGGAAACACTGTATTTTTCAGAGGATGCACAAGTCCAGTCATTATTAATATAATGAGAATGGCAGCCAAGGAGGGTGGACTGGAAAGTGCATGCATGAATAGTGATGCCTTCACTGAACTAGTCAGATGCTGTTGAGTGAGCATGTGCACTGTGTGGCCATTGCATTCAAAAGTAATGTGAGTACTGAGTGAGTAGAGCAATGAACATGCATTAAATTTTGTGTTATGCTTGAACATTCTTCTGTGGAAACTACTCAGATGATTCAGAAGGCTGCAACTACAGGCAACCGGTGATTGGCAGCTTCATCATAACAGTGTGCCCGCTCATGCATCACATCTCATGAAGTTTTTTTAGAAAACATCAAATTACCCAGGCGACTCAGTCTCCCTCCAGCCCAGATTTGGTGCCCTCCAGCTTCTGACTTTTCTTAAAACTAAAATCACCTTTGAAAGGGAAGAGATGCCAGACCAGTGATGAGATTCAGGAAAATACTACGGGTAGCTGATGGCAATTGGGAGAACTGTGTGAGATCCCAACGTGCCTACTTTGAAGGGGACTGAGGCATCATTGTTCTACGTATTATGTTTGTTGCATCTTATATCTTCAATAATGTCTCCATTTCTTGTATTACATGGATGAATACTTTCTGGACAGGTCTCACATTTTATATACATACACACACACACACACACACACACACACACACACATCCTCACCCGAGGACATTTTTTATTGTTTTTAGAGACAGGGGAAGGGATAGAGGAAAGAAGAAAGATAAACATCAATGTGGGGGATGAACATCAATTGGTTGCCTCCCGTATGCCCCTGGACCAGGGATCAGACCGATAGCCCTTCCATCGCTGGATGACGTTCTTGCATCTGAGCCACACTGGCCAGGGCCAAAACATCTTTTTATAATACTAATGTTATGTCTTTTTCATTCTTTTTTCTCATAAGTATACTGTGGAGTTTTACAAAAGCCACATGTTGTATAATATCACAACAGGTTGCAGAACAGATATGAACTCCAACTGTCTTCTATTAAGCTAGACATTAAAAGAAACTGTAGTGATATAAAACAATGCCATTCCCCAAACTAAATTTTATTGTCTGGAAAATATTGTTATATTTCATAGAAATGTTACTTATGTTAATGCGATATGTAGTAGATTTATTATTATTATAATATTCATTATAGTGATATACAGTAATATAGTATATATAATAATTATCATTATAGTAACATATAGTATATATAATATATAGTAATATTACACACAGTATATGTCATAAAACTATTAACATAATACAATTTCAGTTTTAATTTCTAATATGGTAAATATTGATGGAATGCACATAACAAAAGTTCTTTGGAGTTCTCATGAAGTTTTAAGAGTATAAAGGGGTTTTGAGACCCAGAAGTTTGAGAATGGACATCCTAGTCTGGACTATCAAAAAAGGTCATAGAGAAGTCACACTGGCAAATGTAAGCTATACATACTTTACTTTCATAGTTCTGGTGATGTGAGGAAGAAATCATGGAGAGACTATTAAGTTGAAGGGTTATAAGAATAAGAAGAATTTCCTAGGACTAAGTGTTCCCACTTCCACTTAAACAATTAGATAAATTGCATACTTTTTCTCTCTTTCCCCTTAATGTGGGCAATTAGAGCTAGGGTGTAAGGAAAACTGCATGAGTTATGGCAAATAAGAAACTGATCAAGGATCTTAGAAGAGATGAGAAACCTAAACAAGTCTCTGCAAAAAAGTTTCCAGGGTGCATTAGATTAAGTATTAAGTGTTGACAAGGGTTGTTAAAGGTTAGAGAGAAAAGTAATCTATTTTACTATGATATTTATATTCCTTTAAATGAAGCTCTAAATTTTGTATCCTATTAAGTTAATAATCCATATTTATGTTCACCTATTTTGAGGCATTCTGTCTCTAGCAAAAAAAAAAAAAAAAATATATATATATATATATATATATATATATATATATATAATTGAGCAGAAAGCATGTATAACCTATGACTCGATGAAGTTTGTGAGGGTCAGTGTTTAGACCATGAAGTTGTGACCCAGGCAGTTGTCTTAAATTGTAGGCCATTCCTGAAAAGAAATACATTGCCGTGTCTTTCCTTCATTCATTTGTTTATTCATTCAACAAATAATTATGTGCCTAATACGTCCCATGCTATAAAACCAAGCTTACAAAGGTAGGTGAAGTATTCTGTAGTTTTAAAAAAGACTTGTCTGACAGTAACACGTGGGCCATCCAGGGGAAGGCTTGGGGGCTGGAGATGAGTCTAGTGAAACTGTCATCCTCAAACCTTGTGGGGTTAGAGGTCAGAAACACAGTCATACTAATACAGACTTCCAGTGGGTAGAAAGTAGAAACTTTGCTTTTGAAAGCCTTTTGTGAGGCATGCTTACAACCAGAATTGTGACTCAAAAATGAACCACCAAGAATGAAAGGGCTTTTTCAAGGAGTAAAGAGGGGAAAGAGATTTGTTAGCAAGGGCTGAGAACTAATGCATAAACCAATGCATATGGAGGTCATTTGGCATATCGCTCATTGTTAATTCCTACAGTAGGTCTTGAATTTCACACCAGGAGACAGGCAAATAAAGCTCACAATTCTACTCAATACAGGCTTAATTTAAATGTATCAACCCTTCAGAAATAGTAAGGAAAATAGGAAAGTCGTACACATCAGAATAAAAACACTGTTCCTGAGTTTGGGAAATCAAAGGATTCCAGTAGGTGAAATATTTCTAAGTTAATAAAACAGGAATAAAGCCAAGTGACTTAGGTAGTGACCTTCTAACCAGACACTGAATATTTTACTACTGGCTAAAACATTATGCCCATTTCCAAATTGCCTGGCTAGAGCCCTGGGAGAGCCCAGTTTTGACAAATTTTATTGATTATAATCTACTTTCCAAACTTTTTTTATTTTCAGTTAGAAACCCGGAAGGACAGATAAAGCTTTATTCCAAAGGAGCAGACACTATTCTGTTTGAAAAACTTCATCCATCCAATGAAGACCTTCTGACTTTGACGTCAGACCATATCAGTGTAAGTGCCTCTGTCTCAGGTTAGCACAATGGTCCTTTGGCCACTTTCTATGGTTAGCTCTCAGTTTAAAAATATCAGCTAAATGATCTGACTTCTGAAATAAAAAACATGTGGAGAGTGGTTCCACAGGGAACGGGGCCAGTAAATATCTGGAAACTGGCACTTGGTCCCACCCCCTGCTTTGCTGAGAATCCGGTTGGTCTCACCACAGGTGGAGTAACACACAGCAGCTGAGAAGCAGCCACTGAATGTGGGTTCCTGGACTCTAGCCAGGGGAAGGCTCAGGACCGATGAGCCTGCTCTAACTCCCCTGTAGTTTGGGGCCATGCCTCTTGGGAGACTGGACTGGTTCAAGGAAGAAGAGTTGGACAGCTGCTTTCACCTGAGTTCCAATGCATCTGGCACCCACAGAATCTCTTATGATCATTCCCAGTGGAAATCTTAGGGCTGTGTTTAAAGGGTGAGGGGAAAATAGTCTCTGCAGCTAATTTTCTCTTCCAGTGGTCCTTTTATTCAGGACATAAATCATGGTGAGTCACTTATATTCCCTAGGTGAAGTTACCAATTGCATACATTCTGAAACTATGCATAATTTCTTTCCAAAAGGTTTCTGAAGGGAGCAGGGGAGATCTTCGGCAACCTTTTTTTTTTTTTTTTAAGAGTAGGAATTAATATGAGCATTACCTGGTCTGAACCTGAGACTCAATTGTCTCTCTAGTACTTGCTTGAGGTTCTGTTTAACCCAATATGAACTTTAAGGGCAACAGGCCAAAACTCTCATTTCCTCATTGGTTTCTTTCCTTAAAAAAATTATTGAGGATTCATGTTCTTTGTTAAGCCCTATGTTTAATATAAAACATTCCCTGACTCTTTAAAAAACAAACAAACAAACAAATAAAATTTGAAAAACTCTGTCTGACTTTAAGTTTAAAGAATGATGGTTTAGTAATATTGGGTACAAACATAGCTATTGTTTTTCTCTTTCCAAGAGAGCATTCTTGATTTTCTTTTAACCTCTTCCAGAAGGCCGACATGGTCTTTTTAATTTTTTTTTATGAGAACAACATTGGAATCATAAGAATCTGACTTTTGCCATTGCTCACACACCAGGGCCCTGAATTTTCATATGTTCTCCTTTCCTACAAAAATATAGGAAGCCTAGTTTGGTCTTTTTACATGTCTATGCAAAAGAAACTTTTTCAGATAATGTCAACTTAACTTGCTCTTTGCTTCATTCACTTTGTTCATTTTGGCTTTCGAATTCTGAGGTTTTAAATTTATGTTTAATTATTGATTTTAAATTGTTTAATGATAGGAAACAACCTTGCTCAAATGCTCATTTAGGATCCAACTTGTGTTTTATGTACTAATTAAATAACTTAAGTCATCTGTCCCCCTTTGTAATGTCTTCTTAGCGTTGATTCACTATTGTGCAGAACAGAGAGGAAAGCGTTGTAATGCCCAGTGATGTTGCAAGTTAAAGGCAAAGAAGTGTTTATGCGAATTAAGAAGACAAAAGATCGTTAGACCACAGTGACTCCATTTTCAGATCAGTAGGGGACCCAAGGGTGGTCTTGGAAGGCTGGGCTTGTAAATGTGATTGCAATATCCAAAGTGCTACCAACTGCCTACAAGATAAATTTGGAGAATTTTCCTCATGGTCTTTCTGAGCTAAACCACATCATTGCAGTTTGCACTGACTTTGCTTTCCATTAACGTAATTAGGGTGTGTCACGGTTTAACTTGTGCGTGCTCAGAAACCTATGTGTGTTCCATAAGCCAAAACACACAGAGACGATATGCTCAGTGGCAATGCCCAAAGGCATAGAACGGCTATAAAGATGCTTACAGTGTACAGGCCCATAAAATGACCACAGGAGGCCTAGGCAAAGCGGGAGGTTTCTAGCATTTCCCCAAAGCAATCTACACATGTTTCTAGCTATCACGGCTGTGTGAGACCCTTAGCCCCTACCAGTTTCCTATTCTCATTTTTTATTTTTTTACTATTAGGAGGATAAAGCACCAGAAGTATCATTTAAGATTGTCAGTTTACTGAGATAAGAAAGGAAAAGCATAATTCTCCCACTAATTTGACCTATTATTAAATACTAACTATATAGAAAACAGTTTATAAAAAAAGTAATTTTTTAAAACTAACCTGACCCAATGGTGTCTTTAAAGTTTCAAACCATTTTTATCATTAAAGTGAAACTTTCATATATAATTAAAAGAAAATCTTCACCCGAGGATATGTTTATTGATTTTAGAGAGAGAGGAAGGGGGAGAGAGAGAAACATCAGTCGGTTGCCTCCTGTACGTGCCCCAACCGGGGATCAAACCCACAACCTAGGTATGTGCCCTGACCGGGAATTGAACCCACAACCTTTTGGTGTATGGGATGACACTCCAACGAACTGAGCCACCTGGCCAGGGCTAGCGTTTTTTTTTTTTTTTTAATTACAGGAGATATAGAATGAACAGTCAGCCTCCACTTCTAGTCCTACTTCCCAAAAAACATTTGTATTGACTTTCTGCCTTCTCTTCCCTTTTCCCCTAGAGGTTATTATAACATAATCTTAATTAACAGGCTTAAACTTCTATTACTTGACTAACATCTATTTATTAATCTATTATTGACTTTTATCTTTTTCTTATGGACATTTTCAAGCATAAACAAAGATAAGACTGAGTTCATTTTAGGTATAGCTGTGTTATTAGGGGGAAGGTGACAAGACTCTGCTGAGAGCCTCTGCTTTTGACTCGAGAGCCATGGCTCCTCTGAGGGTATCTTTTATTTCCCCTGGAAGCCGAGTGCCATGGTCCGCGAAACAGGCTGGGTTCCTCTCAGGGCCAGGAGGACTTCCTTCAGGGGGAGGGCAGGATGAAAACCAATTATATGTCACTTCGAATGGATATTTCAATTCATGGGCACTGTTAATTACCTCTCAACTAGGACATTTCAGCAGGCATTTTAGTTGGCTTTTAGGGGGAGAATTAGCTCCCCTGAATGTTTTGCAAAGCAGTACAAATAATATTTAAAATGCAAACATTACCCCCCATTTCAAAGGGGGCTAAAAATTTGAAGGTCAGGATAGCCAAGTTGTATTCTTGGGATAAAGTGGATTTGAGTGCAAAACTCCTTACCCATTACTGTTGTTCTTGCTATGATGATTGTTTTGGGATGGTTCCTAAATCAATGTCTGCTCTGGCAGGAATTTGCAGGGGAAGGTCTTCGAACCTTGGCCATCGCCTACAGAGATCTGGATGAAAAGTACTTTAAAGAGTGGCATAAGATGCTTGAAGAGGCAAATGCTGCCACAGATGCAAGGGATGAACGGATAGCTGGGCTGTATGAAGAAATCGAAAGAGATTTGATGGTATGAGTTTAGAAGCATGATGGTTTGTGTTTATAAAGAAGATAGTATATGTTTAAAGAGCTAACATAAGAATAATCCATTGGCTAAATCATCTTGCACACAGCAGATGTTACTCTTTCAAACATTGAATCATGCTTTATATGTTGGCTTTGACTTTGCAATATGTGGCCCTGGAGAGCCTAGAGGATTATTTCTGTTAAATGTAGTTTATGTAATTGGAAGTCACCCAAGAGTAGAAGATTGCAGACTCCCTATTCTTTGTCAATCTCTAATACGTCCTTGGTGTTATTTTCTTCCCTCCCTGCTTTATGGCCCACCTTTTTCAAGCAGGAAAACTTGCCACGAAGAGTGGGTCTACAGCTCTAAACCATCTTAGACACATGAGACTCTGATGATATCTGTACTGCCCAGAATATGAGAGTATGACCTATTCTAGAAACCACTCTTCCCTGAGGCCCCAGTAGACAGGATGCTTAGTTACAGTGAGGTATTAGGGAACAAGCCTTGTTCATCTTTGGACGAAGCACTAGGGAACATGCCTTGTTCATCTTTGGGTGAAATATTGCAGAAGAACCTATATTTTTTAGTTTATGTCATCTGCTGATTTGTTAATCTAGGAGAATGGCTCTATATTTTTGTGAAACTGACTGAGATGAGAGCTCTTCCTTTGGATGCTTTCATGTTGTTATAAGTGGGAAAGCGGCTGGGGAGTTCTTAAATCCTTAGAAGCCCAAATGGATTCTGATTATTTACACTAACTTCTAGGATCTCTGCCATTAATTGGTGTGCCTATCAATTGGCTTGACTTCAGAAATTCCTCTTGGGTCCGTCCCAGCCCACCTCTGCATGTAATGGGAATGCTTGCTATATCACTCCATTATTATTTCCACCTTCAATTCATGTTCCTTGACCTCTAAACTCCATGACTGAAAGTCATAGATGTTGCAAATGTTGTTTGCATGCATTAACATAAGGTATTCTCTGTTTTTCAATAAAGCTTCTAGGTGCCACTGCTGTAGAGGATAAGTTACAAGAGGGTGTTATTGAAACGGTTACAAGTTTATTACTAGCCAATATTAAGATCTGGGTCCTAACAGGAGACAAACAAGGTAATTTGAAAATTTATAATGATGTTTTGAACAGAGGGCAATAATATATATGGTAAAATTTTAACTAATTAGAAAGTTGAATTAGTTAGATATTTGCCCAGTACTCCATATAGGAAAGTGTTGAAATACAAAAAGGATGCTACTTGGCTGTAAAAAGAATAGGAAATTTTACCTTTGCAACAGCATAGGTAGACCCGGATAACATTACACTGCATGAAGAAAGACAGTCAGAGAAAGATGAATACCATATGATTTCACTCATTTGTGGAATCTAATGAGCAAACTGAACTAACAAGAAAATAGAGACAGACTCACAGATAAAGAGCAGGCTGACAGCTTGAGGTGGGGGAGTGAGGGGTAGAGGGATGGAGCAAAAAGGAAAAAGGACCCATGGACATGGGCAACAGTGTGGGGATTGCGATGGGGGCCGGAAAGGGGGATATATGGTAATGGGAAAAATACAATAAAAATAATTTATTATTTAAAAATAAAAACAAATTAAGAAATCTTCTATAGTATACTCTGTGGTCTGTTAAATTTCAACTCAACTTACTTCTTAAACATAAGAGTTAAACCTATAGACAACAATGGAATTAAAATTATTTAGCTGTTGGTTTATATGAGCACTGCCTCCCATCAGGACAGAGGCTGGTTTAGCACTGAAGCAGGACATTGGAGACCTTAGGGCAACTCTTTTAATTTCTTGATGTTATGTAGGGAAGTGTGGGGATCTTAGAGGAGGGATCAGGGTAGTAGGTAGGCTTTGGGAAGGCTTGGGGAAGCAACCATTTATTAACTAGTATGAAAAATTTTGGAATTTTAACAACCACCATAGCTGTACTAGTGCAATTTGGCTGAATTTCAGGTCTTCCCATGCAGTGGTGTGATGAGAGCTGACCCTCTTTCAGGCATGACAAAATGCCAAGTCCATCAGAGAAAGAGTCATTATGTTCATAATACTGTGTTTCCTAAGAGAGAAAAGAGGATGAATGCATTCTGGATCTATTGCTAGCAGTAATGGTTAAAATAAAAATGATTTTCTGCTTGGCCCTCAGTGACCCAGAAATATTCAGTTGACTGGTGAACACATGTTTTTCAGACCTATCTGCCTGTTAGGTATTTTTAGAATATTGGAGGATTTTCAGACATGATAAATCAGTTATATGTTTACCAAAATTACTGATCACAAGAAACTAAACAATAGAAAGTTGAGCTCTGTGACATGTTACTGCAGACTTTCTGGAGTTTGATGTTGATCAGTGGGTACACCTTTTCAATTAGTTATGAATATCCACAAGTTTGCTATTATTTAGCCTTAATTTCTGTGGTTTATACAAAGGATATGCTGAGATTTTATCCATTGCTTTCCTTGACTTAGGACAGACAAATCTAATGACTTCATAGCATTAGATTGAGTTGAAGAACTCAACAGAATTAGAATCAAATGACTTTATTGAAAATGGAAGGGTTGCCTAACTATCCTAGGCTCTGTTTCTATAAAATTAGTGGAAGGAATACCCCATATCATGTGATTTTCCAATTATCTAGTAGCTGCAGTCCATTCACTTAATGGGTAAATAACAATATTGCATATGGGAGAACTATAAAAATTTCCTAAGACCATTTTTGCTCTTCAGCTGAACATTTTTTGAGTTGTTTTTCAATTTGCCTACTCTATCAGAATTGAAAAATGGCTAAGTTTAGTATTTTAGTTCTCCAAAAGCAGTATTTGTGACCTCTGCTAAAAAAAAAAAAGATGAGAAAACTTAGGATTCATAGATGTTACTACAAAACCCTGGATTTAGCAATTGCTAAATTTGATCATGGGAGCCAAGGTTTTGATTTTCCCTCTGTGTCTCTTGCATTTTATCATCCATTAGGCTCTCTCTGACATAAAGGGAGCCTGTAAAGTGCAAGGCAATACAGCAGTGGCTTCAAAACCTTCCTACAAAGGGTACTTATATTATCAAGTAATGTTCTAACTGAAGTATGCTTTGTTTTATATCAGAAACTGCCATCAACATTGGCTATGCCTGCAACATGCTGACCGATGACATGAATGAAGTGTTCATTATAGCTGGGAACTCAGCAGTGGAAGTCAGAGAAGAACTCAGGTAAGTGTTAAATTCTTCTTAAAGAACTTCTTAAAGGCAGGAGCAAGGAAAGAGAGAAAAAGGGGGAGAGAGGCAAAGGAAGGTCAGATAGCTGAGAAAGCAGAAAGATGCTGGATAGTTTCCTACAGTCTTCATTTAGTATAGGGCCCTTTCTGCATGTTCCCTAAAATTCTATTCATTTTGGTGGCAAACTAAGACAAGTTTGACATCAGTGGTGAAATAATGTCTTCAGACCTCCAACATTTCCCAAGCAGTTTTAAAAAATGATTTCCAATCATTTACATTGTTAGCCTTTAAAATTTTGCATTGGCAAGTAAACCCCTGTTAACCCTTACATGATAATGAATGATCAATGTTACTGAAGGACTTGGTAAAATGTCAAATCACTAGCTTCATTCTGACCTAAAAATCAAAAATATTAAGAATTAAGATGGGACATATGTATATTGAAATATTCATTGCTGCATCAATTATGATAATAAAATATTAGAAATTGCTCAAATACACAGTCACAGGAATTTGGTTAATTACTATGCTGTATATATGCAGTGGAATACCATGCAGTCATTAAAAGTGATTATGTATTTATCGACATTGGAAGATATCCATGATATATTTAAATAAAAGATGAGATTATAGAACATTGTGCAGAGCATGGTCTCTTTTCTTAAATAAAAAGCATGCAGGAGTGGACAAAAGTAGGTTTATAATTATGATTATACAAAAGTTAATTCTTGCATTTTTATTTATTATTTTATTATTTTCATAGAAAAAACTGTAAGCCTACTTTTGCTATATATGTATAAACACTATATATCTATATCCATATCTGTCTACCTACCTGACGATCAAGCCCTGGAGGACATACACGAAGTTGTTTTACCTGAATGATAGAATTATGGATCATAGTTGCTTTCTTCTTTATGGTTCTTTGTATTATCTGAAGTTATAATAGTATTTATACAATAATCTTACAAGTAGGAAAACAAAAAATTATCTCTTTTTTTTTAATGAGAAGAAAAAGATATTCAGAGGGAAAAAAATAAATAATTTCTACCTAGACTAATTATTTCAGAAACCTGGAGGCCACCTTGCTTAACTAACTGGCAAATAATGTTTATTTCAACCCAGACTTGAATATTACCTTATTTTTAGAGTCTAAGACAGAGAGGCAGCACATGGTAGGAAATTTGCATAAGAGAAATCAATCCATTTATAATATTAATTTGCTTAATATTAAGATTGGTGGGAAAGAGTATATAAGAAAAGTTATCACTAGAAGACTCTCTATAATTCAAATCTTGGTTACTTACTGTATTTTGCCATGTATAATGTGCACTGTGTTGCCCAAATTTTTGAGGGAAAAATAAGGATGCGCATTATACATGGGTATGATCATTACATACCATGGGTATAATAATCCCATGTACAATGTGCACAAAAACGTGGATACACATTATATATGGCAAAATACAGTATATTAAAACCCATAGATTTGGGGATGAAATATTGAAATCCTAAATTTACATCATTAACTTTTCTTGTTTTATGCTTTTGAGTTCAATGAGAGTTCACACAAAACCAAACAAACAAACAAAAAGTATATCAAAAGAACAAGATCTAAGTGACAGTGGTTATTGGGAAGAGATGACCTAAATGCTTACATTGAGATCTATCAAGTCTGTTTAGATTATTTCATAACATGGATATGTAATTTTCCTGAATATCATGCATAAGGCTTATTTCAAATTTAGTGTCATGAAACCATTTTAGACACTGTGAGTCCGGCATTAATTTTGCTGCCATAGCTGCTTTAATATTGAGGGCATGCCCAGAAATCTACAATTAAATTCTGCCATGGTTTCTCAGAAGATTACTGCATTGATTACATTTCACTGATACATATGTCTTCTGCCCAAAAGAAAACAGACTGAGAATGTAATTTTGCTCTCAGGCAAACTCACTCATTTCATGTCTCGTTTTTGTTTCTTGGAGCACAGGCTTTGTTGTCAGAGAATTCATGTCTTATAACTACTTAAACCATGAAGTGATTCCACTGCTTCTGAGAAGCTTACTGGTGGTAGACCTAGGATGTACTTCCTACTTAATCAACAAAATACTCATTGTATTTTTTTTGAACACCTACTTAGTGGAAAGTTATTTGTTGGAATGAGCAGGGTTGACAAATGCAAATGGCTCCAAGACCAGGAAGATAACATTAGTTGTGTAATCTGCGTTATAGATAAGGTATTAGGGAGCAGTGGGAACTGTGGTGAGGCAAACATCATCTTGTCCACAAACTCATACAGATTTCTTTTTAACACTATGCAGTCCAAGCAAAATGTATCTTGTCCCTAATTCCCAACTGCTAGTCACCCAGGCAAAAAATTTTAGTGATTTAAGTTTCTATCATAAATGGTAAAACTTTAGAGCTCCAAGTAATCTTGGAGATGATCTAGTACATGCTCATACAACTGCCCAAGTTTTCGTAGCTGGTGTCAACCAGTCTGACTGGCAGGTATTATTCCTCCAGTTTCCAAGAAAGAAACCCGTTTCTAAGCTGGTCCAGAGGTTTAATGTCTTCAGGTCACACAGGTAGTAAGGGATGGAACTAGGGCTTGAAATAAAAATTTCATGTACTGTCTCCCTTTACCTTTGGCAAGGTAGTACTGTACTTTAACTGCTCCTCTGTCACTGTATCTTTGTCCCAACCTAAAGGCAACCCGCAACGGACTCTATGGATAAACCTATTCGGTGTAGTGGACCAAGAACTAGGAATTTGAAGACTTGGGTTCTAGTCTGGGGCTATAACTGACTAATCAAGTGGCTAGATGTCAGAGACAGACCTCGGGCCTGAACCCAGATCTCCAGGTTCCAAGTCCAATGCTCTTACATCAAAGTCAAGATTGTCTTCTATTAAGCATGATATCATGATTTCAATCCATTTCCTAAGAAATCTTTTAATGTTTGAATATAGGGTGCCCTACGAGGACTGACAAAAGGACTCTCTTCCCTACCATCTCTTTTCTTTATAGATTGCACGCAAGCCAACGTGGACCTAACTGGGCTTTGCTGTGTTTATGGTGGCATGGGGCTGTCAATGCCACAGTTACTTCAACCATTAATGCATTTGTGCATGCCAACATTGTAATAGACTGCCCTTCATTACAATGCCTGGAAAAAACAGGCACTCTTTTGTTTTAGCATGTGTTATTTGTATTCTGTGGTTAAGCATTGTGTGCAATGCCTACAAAAATGTATGGTTCATATTCATTGAACGGAGTTATGTACAGCTTTTGCCCTTCTAATAAATTGTTTTTGCAAAAACCAGCTGGTACTTGAAGAGCTAAGTTCCAGGAAGAAAAAGAAATGCCAGCTATAGAGCTTGGGCAAAGGTCTGAAAATGCAGCAGCCCAGTCTGGTGAGGAGGGGTGGCCTGTGCAGAGGGAGTCAGTGGGAATTTAAGCAGAGTTAGAAAAAACTGTTCCTTGTCTGCCTGGAATGGGTTCGTGTGAGATGTTAGGAAGACAATTTAGGGGGGGAAAATCCTAAGTAAATAAAATTTCAGCCAATACTTTTATGAACTTCACCCTTCTTTGGAATGTTTTCATTCTCTGGGGGAAAACAGAGATTGAGTCATTTATACAGCGAGTGAAAACCTTACGAAAAAGGAAACCTCAGGAGATGTTTGCCCTTTGGTGCCTTCTTAGGACCCAGTTTATGAGTTCTGTAACATTGTCAGAGAAATGTTCATTTCTGAGGAGTTTGTCTCTTTTGCTTTCTTCATTACATGGGATTGTAAATTTTCATGACCGTGAGGAGGATTCCCTGACATGATTAGCTGAGACAAAAGTCTGGTCCTCCCACTTAAAACAATAATTTTTCATGTCTGCTCTCCCTCCCCCACCCCACCCTAGCTCCTTGAATTTCACATGCAGCACTCTGATTTTATAAACCTGTGTCTTTGATTCTGCTAAATGCATGATATCATCCTTGGAGCCAGGGCTATGTAACCTCTGGGTGGCTTGGGTTCCTAAATACAGGCTGTGATTTGGGCCCTGAACAGCAGAAGGAGATGTTGAGCCAGAAGATAAGGATTTTTTTTTTTTGTTTTTGTTTTTTTAAACTTAGCATGTAAACAATTAGTGTTACATTTTCAAATAGGAAGTTGAAGACTATAATGATTGTTTTTTTTACAGGGAACACTCTCTTCTTTCGGAGGAGCTACAGCCTAAACCCATTTTATTAAACATCTTCTACGTAGGATGAATCTTTGGGGAACCAGTTCATTTCGCTCCAAGCCAAAACATCCATTTTCGGGCCTGTCTCTCACTCCCCGTTTTCTCAGGGGCCCTCGTTTTGTATATGCAGGCTGCGGCCTGAAGTGTTGGTGGCTGGCCTTGACGCTCATCTTCAGGGAGTGTCTGCAGGGTAGCTCCCTGGCTGTGGCTGAGAGTTCTGTAGTCATGTCAGCTTGCCCTATGTTACTTCAAAGCCTCTCATCCAAGGGTCCTTGGAGAGGAAATTTTCCTTTGTTTCAAAGCATCACCTCTGCATTTTGAAGAGAAGTAAAATGCCATTTTTAAGGATGTTGAATCACCATACATTCTTCCTCTTAGACAGCAGAGGTGAATGAGATGTGGGCAGGATTATTTTATTGCCAATCAGAACGAGGGCATTGGAGAGAGTTTCCATTTGGAATAACCTGCTACGTGGAACTTTGGTGTCCATGTTCTTTTTCAGAAAACTTATTCTATTGTTTGACCTGATGAATACAATTTTCCCTTAAGATAGTCCCTTCTATTATAATGACTATGCCAATTTTTAAATGCTAGTATTTGTTTTATTGTCAACTTTACTGTCCTTGAGCCCTGCTGTTATTGCTGTTATAAGATAGATCATATTACATTGTTCTGCAAATTGATTAATTTATTTATTACATGGATGCCCTGGAATTCCTAGAAGATACAATGAATTTCCTTTAGTCTTTCCTTTTCATTATTTAACAATATCACATGCCAAATCAATGATTCTTAAGCCCTTGAAATTCAGGTGACCTTATATACCAAATTTATCCAGAGCCCTTGGTTCAAGGCCAGATCAAGATGGTAATTTAGCTTTTAAATAATGCAGAACGTTCAAGATGATTCTATTTGTATTATGTTTACCCTCCTACTTCCTGGAATTTGGAAATTTGCTCTTGTATCTCTATCACAAAGAATTATCAAGCTAGCTTACTGAAACTCAATCTTGGGCCACAGACTGTCAAAATAGTGATGAAGTGAATTTACCTCTAGGCTAGTCTCTTTTTAGAGTTAAAAGGTATGCTCTGTATACTTTGTTATGATTTTCTTCCCCCCCCACCTTACCTTGAAGGAAAGCAAAGGCAGATATGTTTGGACAAAACAGAAGTTCTTCCAATGGCCATGTAGTTTTTGAAAAAAAGCAGCAGCTGGAGCTGGACTCAGTTGTAGAAGAAACCATAACAGGAGATTATGCCTTAATCATAAATGGTCACAGTTTGGTGAGTTCACTTAAGGCTTTTGTTCTTTCTTTTTCTTTACCCCAATAATTGTCTCCTTTGTGCTGTCATAATGAGATCTTCTGTTGTATTTTCCAAATGAATGACACTACTGGAAAGAAGGCATACACAATCATTTCCTGTTTGCAAAGGGAAAGGAAACTTCTTACCTATATTTCATACAGTATTGCTAGGACTTCCACAGAGAAGGGAGGATCCAAAGAAATACTGAATTCATCGAGTATCAGTCTTGTCTAAACGACTACAGACGGTTTAGCAGTATTGTTTAAGTGTTTTTCTAAGGGAGAGTGTCACAGTTCACTGTTATTTAATTAAATTAATGCAACTGGATGAATGTATTACACTTACTGCTCTCGCTAAAGTTTGTGATTTGTAGAATACAACCCGACCTTCATATAATTACCACACCAAATTATTGCCATTAAGATACCTCTGGTGGTTTTTCTAAATAGCAGCATTTTAGAGCAATGCCAAACAATTTGCTTTGATTAGGAAATCTGGTTCTTGTCGTAATAGAATAAACTTGCATTGTACTTTTAATGTAGTTCAGGTTCCAAATCTTGAACAAATATCAAAATACTCCTCTGAGTTTCTAATTTAGAAAACAAAAGCTCTGATTGCACTCCAGTGAAATTATCATTTATGTGCAAAAAAAAAAAGAACTAATCTCATATTTTTCTTCCACTTTGATGATTGTTTTTCTCTTTTGGACTGTGGAAAATAGATGTATCTTCTTTTAGACATTTTCTTAGAGGACAAAAGAAGTTGGATATGAGTATATTGTATTTTCCCCGTGATCAGCTGCCTGTTAGCTCTTAGTGCTTAGAGCGTTATCCAGCTGGATTCCAGACGTAATGATGTGTTGCCCTCTACACCATGGAAAGTTACAGAGCTCAGCTGCAGGCCAAGCTCAGTTGAAAGTTTGTCCAGATGACACGAACTTCTTCCTTGCACACATGAATAGCAACTGAAAATTATAAACCTGTCAGCTGGGACTTTGGAGTTTGTGGCCTCCGAGCTGACTTGCCCAGGGACCACACTATAGAAAGCGTCCCTAATGAGCTGCACTTTGACTTTCAGGCTCAAAGAAGCCAGTGTGGGTGGGTCAGATGCTTAGGTGATAACATTCACTGTTTTATCTCTGTCTCTAAATATGCTGAAAAAGCTAAGGTAAATCCTCTTCAAGAACCCTTCAGCTTCAATGCTGGATGCTTGTGAAAACATGAAATGCCATATTTCATTTAAGGAGAACCGGCCATGTTTCTAAAAGTAGGGTGAAAAGCCTTAAAAAATTAAAATTCCAGTTTGCTTAAATCTTGTTGCTTTGCAGAACGTCCTTGGGTCCTCTTTCTTAAAGTCGGGTTTTCACTTGCTGATAATAAACAAAAAAGAAAAGAAAGAAAAGGGGACCATTCTGGACCAGTTATATACTTTCTCCTTCAGAAAGGGCATTTATATTTCAGAATGCTAACTCACAATTTCCCCTAGGAATTATAGACCTTGACATAAGAATTATCTACCTCAGTGCATGTCTTTATAGCCATTCACTGATCTTTCTATTCATACCATTCTCAGTTACTAAGCATGTCTAAGTCACAGTACTGGAGCTCAAGGATAAGATGTAAATGGAACATGGACCTTGCTTTAAGGATTGCTATCTGGTGGAACAGCTAATCTCACAGTGGTATGGCAAATACGATAAAGAGGAACAAACACGGCTTTAAGAGCAAAGAGGCAGACACATTTAGTTTCTTGCAGGAAAGTCAGGGAAGACTTCCTGGAGGAAGTGATCTTCAGGTAGAGGAGACAGCAGTGCAGAGGCACAGAGGCAAGAAAGAAGCTGTCAAATTACAGAAATAGGCAATTTGCTATGATGGGAGTAAAGAGCAAATTTAAAGATGGTGGTAGAAGATGGAACTCAAAAAGAATATGGGGCCAATTGTGAGGGGCTGTGAGCATCTTGTTAAAGATTCATTCCAAGATATAGTGAGTAAAAGTTTATTGATTAATGTACAGCAAGATGTTTTCTAGAAAAATATTGCACAGCTAATTGCAAAGGACTGTGCTCACTTTTTCAGAAATTTCTTGGCACATGTTAGGGCTGTTACGTACGTACGTGGAGAGGAGCAAGGGTGGACATGGTTGGGAACCCCTGTCAGAGGCAGCACCTTTTTTCGCACTCCACTCTTTTGCACAGGCCTCTTCTGATTTTAATCACTGTTGTCCTTAAGGGCTCACCTCCAGGTTATCCACTTCTCATTGACCCATGCATTGACAACCACAACAAACACTAAGTATAGAAAACAACAATGCAAAGGAAACAAAAATTCCATCATGAGAATAAACAAATCAGCATTTAGTAGTTCATTCTAAATTTGGTGAGGTGGTGAACAGGTTCTGTCTTTTGCTTTTCCTTATTTCGGGAGGCTCTGGAACTTCTCTGGCATTGAACTGTACCTCTCCTCAGTTCAGCATGAGAATGTGTCAAGGAGGGCATGCAAGGGCATTGTGTCTTTCATTTTTATTCTAAAATTCCCTGGCACTTAGTAGGAGTTTAATACATCTTTAGTTGGTGGTTGTTGCTTGTGTGACCCTGAATCAACAATGGCTTGTTGAAGAGAATGAAATTATTTAAAAATCAGTTGAAAAATAAGAAATCTACTATTTATTGATGCTTCTGATTTATCGTTTCTTGTTTTATTTCGGATTTTATTTTTAATAATAGGCCCATGCCCTAGAAAGTGATGTCAAGAATGATCTCCTAGAACTTGCCTGTATGTGTAAGACTGTGGTGTGCTGCCGGGTCACGCCACTCCAGAAAGCCCAAGTAGTGGAGCTGGTGAAGAAACACAGAAATGCTGTCACTTTGGCCATAGGTGATGGAGCCAATGATGTCAGCATGATCAAAAGTAAGAGAACATTTGCTCGATGGATCACGCTGCATACCTGGAGTCCTCAGGTTCAGCATTTGGCAATACGTAATGGAGATTCAATTACAACTTCATTTTTCCCAGTGGTTCTAAAATGACAACTCTAGGTCCAATGAGTTCGCCTTTATTACCATTCATTAAAAAACAAACAAACAAACAAACAAAAAACCTCTTTTTCTGTAATTCAATAGTTTGTGTATTTTAGGCTAGAAAGGACGTTGGTGTAGAGAAATGAGCACTGGTCCCACAGTCTCAACGCTTGGGTTTAGCCCCAGGTTCACCATTTACAAATTGTAAAACCTTGTGCAAGTGACTAAACTTCTCTGAGCCAGTGCCCTCTTGTAAAACTACAGGGTAAATATCTATGCTATGATGAGTGTTTTGTGAGATGATATATGTAAAAATTATTAATGCTATAGCTGTAAGGTTTCCATAAGTAAACAATACCATAAAAGAGGAGTGACAAGCTCCCCAAAGAGATTGTGTCTTTGAGGAATAAAAGTTCCTTTTTTCCTTTGCAGGTGCTCACATTGGTATTGGAATCAGCGGCCAGGAGGGACTGCAGGCAGTCTTAGCCAGCGACTATTCATTTGCTCAGTTTAGATACCTCCAAAGGCTTCTCCTTGTTCACGGAAGGTGGTCCTATTTCCGAATGTGCAAATTCTTATGCTATTTCTTCTATAAGAATTTTGCATTCACACTTGTGCATTTCTGGTTTGGTTTCTTCTGTGGTTTCTCAGCCCAGGTTGGTAAAAAAGTATTTTTCTTTCTTTTATAAGATCCTCTGGATTGTAAATGACTGTTCTTCATGGGTTTTTACTAATAAATAGTGACACTATGGCAATTACATAATTGATAGTTGACTTGAGCTTTGAACCCAAGAAGAATATATATTGAGCTGGAATTTTATTTATTTTTCTTTTATTTGCATAGCAACCAATGAGTACTCTTTCCTTTAAGTTTTTATTAAAATGTTTTTGTATGATGACAGGTAAGCTTGATATAGAGTTTTAATTCAGAAGCCTGAGAAATAATATCAAGAAATGCTGAGGTATCTTAATTGGGAGGATGGTCACTCACCGAACACACTGAATGTAAATATTTTATATCGTGGGAAGTAATTGATGCCCTGGCATCAAGAATGTTCAGACAATAGTTCACTGGCTAAAAAAATTGATATATAGATTATGTTGATTATAACGAAGAAAAATTAGCAAATTTGTACATTAGGATTCTATTTTTATATCTAGTCATCTTCATTTTGAAGAATATTACTTAACCTCATATCTTGGATATCAAGATTTGACCCTGGGTGTCAGTTGTGAAATGTAAGACCTATAGTATGTAAATATATTTATGAATTAAAAAGTCATGTCATTATTTTAAAGAACAACAAAAGAAGACATTTTCCTTAAAAATGAAATGGTAGCCATAGTTCTCATTCGAGATTTCTTCAATTGTTCTTCCTTTCTCTTGGGTTTAATCACTGGTTTCGATGATATTCACAAAGCGGATTTTTTTCCAATCATTTTATTCCAGAAAACAGTTGAGATCAATTAAATCTTGGAATTTTATGTTATCTTAAATGTTCCAAGGGAGATTAACAAATCCTTTTTGTAACAAAAATAGATTTCATACATCTTTTCCTTTCTCTGAGAAGTCGAGATTTCTTAAAGTGAAGCACACCTATACCCATTCCTAATTTTCTCTCTTAAGAATAACATTCTCAGAACTAAAGCAGACTCTATTGATTAGTTTTGGTAATTTTTAGACAGTTGATGCAAAACAAGTCTTGATTTTAACTTTATTTTGAGAAGGCATTGGGATGGGAATATTTACCTGCTCATGATACCACCTTTGTCCAACAAAGACAGATGTGGGCATGCGGACTTTGCATTCCTCAGCAGATCACTCTCCTTCCAGGTAACAACAAAGCAAGGCTATTTTTGCTAAGCAGTGTCTCTGAGAGATCCAGTTTCACATTGCAAAGGTTTGAGGCTTTTGAAAAATTATAAAACTATGAAGGGACGTCTCAACCCTCACTTCGACCTCTTTTACACAGAAGAGTTGTTAATTTAATTTGTATGTACAGACACACCAAACTTGGATAGGCACGTTTACTGACAAAGTTGTGTCCCTTAAAACTGTGAGGTTGAAACTTATGTTCAATGACTTTTAACCTCTACAGGTACGTGGTTTTCTGCTCTGCTTTTAGGATCTGATAAAATTGGTCAGTTAGATGTTGAGCAATTAGATCTGTGAGTCTCTTGCCAACGTTCATATTTAAACAGGGAACAGCAAGGAGCAGAGTGATTTCTCTAAAGACATGAGTAGCTGATGGTTAAACCCAGCTGTAAGACACACTACCTGTCTATGATTAAGTTTCTGAAGTGTTTGATTGAATTCCAAATGGGCAGAACCCCCTAGCTGCCATTTCTCCACTCCAGCACCGCTGCAAGTAGGAATGAGATCCACCAGGAGTGAGAGCAAACTGCTGGTTGCTGTAAAGCGCCCCCCCCCCGCCCCGGCCTTCTCTGCCTCTATCTGAAGCTGGTTGAGCCTCTGCAGATTTCCCCAGTGATTCCCATGAGGCAAGACCGGAATGGGCCTCTGAGAAAGTCTCCTGTAGCGCTGGGAGAGCTGGATGTCCACCTGGGGCTCTCTTCTTTCCACTGGGGAAACCATAGGCCCAGGGAGATCCTCTTAGTGCAGTGCTGTGCAGCCTGGGTGAGGGGCAATGCAGTCAGAGTGTAGCTGTTGCCCTTTCCTTCGGATGCGGTCCTTCTCTGTCACTGTGGTTCATGGTGGTGCTTCAGCCTCATTCCCCCCAGCTCTCGGACTTTCACAGTTGTGTCTTGTCTGTGGATAGGTGCCCCTGGTCTTCTTGTGAGGGAAACTGATGCTGGGAATGACTAATGTTGCCATCTTGATGGCATTATTCCTGAACTTACTTTTTTCCAAAAAGCATTTATGTGGCTTCTGCCAGTTTTCTGGTAACAATGCCTACCTGAGATCTCTTTCTCTGTTGGAGGATTTTTTGAATTTGGATTTCAGATCTAGTGAATACCATTTGTTGTTCAAGTTTTTAGGAGAAATGCTTTTGTCTCTCTTCAGCTAGTACCAATGTTGATGCAAGCATGTTTCCTGCAGTCCCTTTCTGCAAAAAGATTTGCTTCTTCTTTACTCTCACACTAAGGATTCAGCCCTTTGCTGCCTTAGCTTTATTCGAGTCCTCATTTGGTCTAATCTTGGCATCGATAATGGTCTCTCTTACAATATACAGTGTCTTAGAGTCAGTGAGATTTGGTATTATTACCCAAACTCATTTTTCCCCTCAAGCACATGAATAATGTCCTGTAGAAGAGGAGCCATACAGAACCCACTTTGGGAAATTCTGGAATATATGTCTCTATAGCAACAGTTTCAAAATATGACATTGCCCTGCTGTTCATCTCAGTTCCAATGTTTTGGAGGCAGCAAGGTGTCCGCAGGATACTATCCCCATGGAAACAAGCTACTTACTTTTGTCCTTCTCAGAAACTTCCATTTTCTTAATTATCTCTAGACCAGGGAACAAAAGAGCCCTGCTTTATATGCTAAAGTGTGGAAGGTTTACATTTAAACTTTAGCAAAGTCTTTTCCATTATCCTCAAGCTTTTTTTCTGATTATAGAAATAATTATATGTACATATATATCAACTTTTATATATCTGACACCTACTGTTTGTATCTCCTTTTTTAAAAAAAAGATTTTATTTATTTTTAAAGAGTGGGAAAAGGAGGGAGAAAGAGAGGGAGAGAAACATTGATTGGCTGCCCCTTGCATGCTCCCAACTGAGGATGTGGCCGGCAACCTGGGCACGTGCCCCAACTGGGAATCGAACTGGCGATCCTTTGCAGGGCAACGCCCAACCCACTGAGCCACACCAGCCAGGGCTGTTTGTATCTTTCTTACTTAAATTGAATAATTCTTTCCCTGCCCATAGTCTTGAGTCATATGATATTGTCAGATGTCTAGTAGGAATACTTGTTTACCATCTTGGGAAGAGAAAACAAAATGATGAACAGGACAAGTCCCTACCCACCTGGAACTTGTTTTCTCATTGGAAAATTAAAAATTGCATAAATAAGTCCAATAGAAGTTCTGTAGTTGAAGTTACTATGAGAGCATGGGAAAGGAGAAATGTGTGAGGATCTGGGACTACAGTGGGGCTCAGTCTCAAGTGAGCACATGCATATTTTCAAAATTAGGTGGAGGTGAGCCCTAAAAGTCTAGCTACCTGGAGAGATTCAGGAGCTGGCTTGTATAAAGGTGTGAGGCTATAGAGAAAAAGGAGGAAAGCCCTCCCTGTCATATCTGAACGCTTTCCGACTAACCAGCCGTCAGCCGAATTTGTAATGTCTTTTAAATTTCTAAAATTGCATTTAACATCAACTCATTCAGAAACACCTTTTAAAAACTGCATGTTGTTGAAGGGGAATCTTACTTAATGGTGCTTTGTACAGCAAGCAGTGTCTTCTAGAACAAGTGTTATTCCCTCATAGAGATGGAAACTCTAGCGTTTCCCAGCTCCACTCCTGCACACACGGGTGGTCCGGTGTGTCAGTGATAACGGGAACGGGCTATGAAATAAATTCCGATGTGGAACTAGGATCATTGTCTCTTTTCCATTCCCTGTTTTTCACTAGAAGGTCCTGATTAGCAACAGGTTTTACTGAAAAGTCAATTGACATTTTCTCTTAGCCCTGTTTTTCTAAGGACAATATGCTGTAAATGAGGCAAATGAAAAGAAAACAACATATTTGGGAAAGCTGCTAGTCTGCAGAGAATGGGAATTTTTGAATAGGGGACATTTTTGCAGTCACACGTTTTTTTTCCCCCATTGAGATCAGTTGGTTGACTTTGGCTTCTAAAGCCATGTGTTTGGTGACAAGGTTTTTTTAGCTTCTAAAACCCATTACGTAGCCGCTTACTTCCAGTCTGTTAATGAAAGCCGACTGTCAGGGCTTTCTACCCCCCAGCCAGCCCTCTCCTAACTTGCTTCAGTGGAACTGAAGGCTCCATGTTGAGGTGGAGCCAGCGGTAATACACACTCTAGGGTCTGGCAGACTTCAGTGACAGCATGCCTGTGTTTAGAGGCCCTCCCTTGATAGGTCTGATCATCACTTATCTGTCCCATCCTGATAGGAATGAGATGCACACGCACATTCTCCAACACCAAATGTAGCATCTTTGAATTCTCATTCATTAAAACAAGAATAAACTGAGTGCCGGTTTAGGGCCAAGTGCTCTGCTGGCCTCCGGGGACACCAGAATGAACCAGAGGGATATAGTTTCTTTCCTCAGGGAACTTAGATTCTGGGAACAATTTTATTTTCATAAATGTGAAACTGATGTTGAATAACTCCATAGTCACCTTTCTCTTATTTTTCTTCCAAGAGTTTTTTTGAATTAAATTTGTCATGGATGCTCCATGTCTTGGGGCCAGCCCTGTCCAATCTCAGCATGATTTATAAGCACCTAAATATTTTTTCCCTGCACCTCTTAACAGATTGTTTTGAAGTAATCCACTCTGCAGCCCAAAACATCTGACCAAATGTAAACAGATTGTGCTTTCTTACATACAATGTTGACTTTTAAAAACACCAGTTTAATTACTTAATGAAGTGACATGTGCTTTTTCTTTACTACGTTGGCTGGTCTCTCGGAGCCTGGTAAATTTTATCCAGGCTCTTGTTCTCTGA